GGTTCATGGTAGTCAAATGTTCGGAACTCTAGCTGGCCAGGATAAATGCTCTGGCTAAACAATATCCACATTTTGTGTTAAATGGCCAATTAAATGAAGTTGAATTCATATTTTTTAATCGTACAGCATACAGCTCGTTACATACATCGTTTTTGGGGGATACCATTTTGTGTAAAGGTATTCAAAACAGAAGAAGTAAAAACTACCGGTGCCGGAGTTATCAAAAAATCAATGTTTATTTATAAGTGATTGAATATTACCAGATAATCTTGATTTTTTTTCACCAAGAGAGTTTTTGCAAATTGCACAGGAAATATATTGTGTTTTATGCAAGCCATAAAAAATCACCTGCGGCCGGCTTATCAAACTGCCTTTATCTGAGAAGCCCAATTCCGGTCACGATAATCCTTTTTAAGCGAAAATTGTGGGGTTTTACAGCTGTAATTCCCCGGGGGAATGCTCTCCACTTTGAGATATTAATATTATAAGAACTAGTGAATCGATCTTAAATAATGTCGGTTCGTTTTTACTTTATTTAGCCTTCAACTGGAAAATTGTTAACGAGTTCACTATCAATCAATATCATTCCGTTCTTTAGTCAAAATTTGACTCATTTCCTTGTAGAATGAGAATCAAGGTCTAAAAAATTTGAGTGGTTTATAGTAGTAGATTTGTTTAGCAAACAATTAAGTCCCACTTAAGTCCAACCGTATCATATCACTTTTCCATTTTCAGAATCTCGTTTGCCATGTATATTCTTGAGCGGCCGACTCGTTAAGCGACTAAACGATCCCATTTTTTAGAGATTAGTGGGAGAGAATGAAAAGTGGCCTTTGCACACAGTTCACGAACGGCGCGAGGAACGCGCAATGAACTTAAATCACTTCTAAAGCGCGGATTTCATCCTAAAAAGATGCATATCTTAGAGAATTTAATAATTTACTTTCTTTAAAAAAACTGAAATCCCAATCAACAACGGACAAAATGAATAGAAAATGTTAGAAAATAGCCGCTTTTTAAATAATTTTTTCTTATTCAGTAATTTTGTTTTAAGAATTGATGTCTTTGGCCAAATATAAACAATGATGAGCACTTGATGGTGCCCCGTTCAAACATAATCCAATATTGTGAAGCAGCCATAAATCCCGAGTTTATTCCTTGAATATCGCTCATCTTTCAGCAATAATAAAAGGATAATGGAAGTGCTTTTTATGACTGGTTTAATGGGTAAACTCGTCTATAAATTATATGTTGGATCAACAATCACCACTGGCTTGGAGACAACTGTGATCCCCTGCACGGAGATAATCTTTAAAAACACAATATTGAAGAGAAGAAAAAAAGTTCCTGAAACAATACTATATAATTATCTTATCCCTTATTTGTTCAAGAAATTTCAAATATATTATTTGACCTCGTTCTTGAAAATTAACAAGCGCAATTGTAACAGTTGTTTAAAATTTCGAAACTTTACAGAAAACATTATTTATTTCTTTTCCTTTTCTTTTCTTTAAAGTCAGGGCTGAAGGATCGGGAGATTAAGTGTCCCTTTTTGAATTAGAGGTTCCTCGAGTTTTAAAATATGACTCCTAAGAGATTTAAACTGAGAAAAAAACTTAAAAAATACAGGAGGAAAATAAAGGCAAAACCCTTTTAAATTAACATAATATCGATTGATGTAATTTGTTTATGCTTGTTAGTCCGTACGAAAAATAAATTTAAGGAGTAAAGTCTGAATAAATTCTTTCAAAGTAAAAAGAGAAAACCTTCCCAAGGAACAAAGGACATCATTAAAAAGAAAATTTATTTGCCGAAAAGATAAAATCAACATTAGAAAATAATTTTATACTTATGACTCTTTTGCTCTTATTCTTGTCTACTCTGTCTTTTGCTGTATTCAGTATGGCTTTATTTTATAATTAGGTAAAAATTGAGTCACTTTCTTTTTTGTTAACAATGGTAGAACTTGAGTTCGGACGTCGCCCAAGGGGGAAAAATCAATGGGATAAATAAGACTAAGCTGAATTTCCTTTCTTTATATTTTATGTCAAAAGAAAAATTAATAACCGATGAAAACTTTTCTCAGCTTTACTAATTTATTTATATTATATATTCTGCTTGTATTATATGTTTTGTGGTATATATTATTTGTCTTCAATTAACTTCAATAGAATTCTCAATTTTTGATGTGATTAATAATCATATCCTTCTTATTTTTTGTGTATGTATTTCTACAATTACATACATACATGACTATGTAAAATTATGTATAAACTTTTATTTTAATTTAGATACCTTTTATAGATTCATGTAAATTTTTTATTTATATAATAATGTAATCACAAAAATCAACACAACAACAGTCATATCTTTAATATGATAATAATGACAATTTGTAGTAGTTGCATATAGGTATTGTATATGACCTATAACGTATATATTTATTTTCATGGTTTTTAGTGTGTACAAAATATACTTAAGTAAGCCTAACAAGTATGACAAAGCTAAAAACTGAATTCAAAGCAAATACAGAAATTTTAAAGTTAATTCCTACTAAAAAGAATAATATATAATTGTGTGCGTGTGCATGAGTGGGCCAACACATATTTTTTCTGTACTTGTTTTTTTATCCCTTTTTTCCTTAGTTGTGTTTAATTTCTTTTGTGATTGGAAGCAGGTTTGTTGAAGTTGAACAGCAATTGTTTTTGTTGTTTTTTAACAATTTATTTATAACGTTTTCAAGATCGCACCTTTCTCATCCTCAGCAAGTTTTCATGCGGAAAATTATCAAAAGCTCGACTATCTGCTGGTTTTATTTTACATGTACATGAATGTGTGCGAGTGTGTTTTCATTGTATTATACAATTCTTATTAATTTATGTAAAACTACTAACCTAAAAACGTGGTTTTTTCCTGATGTGTGTGCGTTTGTGTTCACTTCTTTCAGTACGATTTCCGAAAAAAGAAAATTAATACAAATTCGTGCGTGTCTTGTACATAATACACAAATCCTTGCACTTATATATAGAAATTGTTTGCTTGATTGCGTGTAAATGTACGTAGTTGTTTATGTTTGTGTGAGTTTATCTTTGCTTATTTTTATTTGTTTCTGAGTTGCTGCGTATGCTTGATTTTACTTGATTTACTTGCGGACACATATGTAGTCGTTTGATTCATATTTGTACATGTTAATTTGCGCTATATATATTTATGTTTATTTGTATTGTTATTTGCTTATTTGTGTCTGTGTATATATATATGTTTGATTTTGTTTGTTCGCGTGTGTATGTATTTAGCTGTTTGTTTTCTTTTTTATCTTGATTATTTGATTATGTTAGTGTGTGTGTGTGTGTGTGTGTGTGTGTGTGTGTGTGTGTGTGTGTGTGTGTGTGTGTGTGTGTGTGTGAGCTTGTGTTTGTTTGTTTTGTAGCGTGTATAAGTGGTCTTTTTATGGGCTATTTGTTTTTGGTATTCTTTTTATTCATTTTTTGGGTTTTGTAGGTTTATACTTGCTGATGTGTGCGTGGTTGCATGTCTATTTTTGATGTATCTGTGTGTTTATATTTTTGTATGTGCTTTTTCCTTTCAGTAGTACCCCTAATAAAAAGTATTCATTTCACGATAATACCTGGACCGTTATTATATTATATGTAATTGAAAATTTTAATTTGAAACATAATTAACAAATGGTTATTACAAATGTATTTTTCTTTTACTTTTCGTTTTTGTTGTCTTTATTTTCTTTTTCCTTCAGAGATAGTTTCATTCATTATTTATTGGCCTTGAACGTGAGTAAAAACAAGTTTTTTTTAATATTTTGTTTGTTTGTTGTGTGTAATTGTTTGTGTTAGTGTGAGTTTGTCTTTGCTTATTCATTTGCTTGCTTTTGTGTGTGTGTGTGTGTGTGTGTGTGTGTGTGTGTGTGTGTGTGTGTTGTTCGGGTTCGTTTTGTTATGTTTGTCCTACCTTAATTGTGTACATGTATGTTTGTCTGTTTTTACATGTGCCTGTAGTTGTTTATGTTCTTTTTTTTATATGCTCTAATTTTTACCCCCACCCAAGAAACTTTTAAAAACTTTATAACAAAATTATAACTTTTACCCCTTACTTATAACCCTCAAAAAGAACTTACTAAAGAGAAATAATATTGTTTGTTATGCATACGTACATACAGACATACTTACTCCCATAATTTTATTTTTGTTGTTTTGAATTTATTTTTAATCATCATACGTTTTTTTTTTCTTTTTGCAAATTATGATAATTTTATTACAATTGTACAATTTTTATTGTCCTAGCCCCCTCAAGAAAACCGGGGGGGGGATTATTCCATTATGGGGCCCTAAAGGTTCAACAATTCTCTATGCAAATAGAAGCTTTTCTTAATCCATTTAACCAAACCGCCGCCCCCTGCTCGAAATGAACTATTGATCAAATTATTAAAACGCTTTGTTTTGAATATTTTTTTAAGAAATTTTTAAGTAGTAATTAAGCAAAAATTAAAAGAAGGGGCCATAAAAATTAAGGCGGAATGTAATTTTGTTGTTTGAGATATTTAGGATTGATTTCTTTTTTTTATATATTTTTTATCTGGTTTTATTTTTTTATTGTGATTACTTAATGTTTGTTAGATCTAGGTATATAATGTTCGAATGTTTTTTAGTTTTTTTTAATTACTACATGTCGGATGACTATTTGGTGGAAGGGGTGATACCTTATCACTAGGAACAGCAGGCAGCAGCTACTAATGCCACATAAACAATGCAATCCTAGAGGGAAAAGCTAGGCTCTCGAGGGGGAAAAAGCTAGTTTTCATAGAGCAGGAAGGAAGAGCTAGACTCTGATCCTTGAATAAATAAAGCCGGCCGTCCTTAATAAAAAGAAAAAGGCCGAAAGGAATGTATAATTAAAGGGATTTCGATAAAAAGGCATGTAAGAAAATCGATAGGGAAAAAATGGGCTGGTGGTTCTCCGGGGAAATAATTGAATAGAGGACCTACCTTACTAGAAAAGAGTCCATGGCACTGCGAGCGAAAAAATAAAAAATTGCCAAAAATCGTATTGGTTTTATTTGTGAAATAAGTGGCAGAGAATGGAGAGCGGCGGCGAAAGACTCACGGCCCGGGGTTTCCGACCTGCGTAGGCGGAATTGGAGGGCCGCGAGATGTCCGGCTGGGCCTAGAAACGTCAATAAACGCCGTATGTCAAATTCACTAATTTAAAAGAAGTTCCATTATCCACTGGTGGGCAAAACACGATCGCCATTTTGACCCTGATATCTCAGCGGTGGAATGGCTCATGCTCAAACTGGGCCGACACTGCCAACTTGGCAGGGCGAAAAATCCCACCGGCCGCCGCCATCGGGAGTTGGTCCGCTTCGCTCGTCCCCGCTGCCCCGCCGCCCCCAGCCCGCCTCCGAGTCCGTTTCCAACGAGGGGCGGCCGGGGGCTCATCGGGCCCCAATCGACACGAAGGCCTAACCTTTCCTCATACCTCTTCTCGCAGTCACAGGTTATCCTCATCCTTCTGATAACGTGTCTGACATCGAGCCCCTTCAAAATCAAAACAACAAAAAAACCACCAATAAAGGTCACAGAAGTCTAAAATACTCATCTAACACAAGATTGATATATCTTTATATATAAAACCTATTAAAAACACTAGATTCAATTGATACCAATGAAAAATCTAATCCACCCACCATGAAAATCCTTTCTCCCTTAACAAGTCATAAAAACAATAGTAAAAAACTATAGTTATACTCACTGGCAATGATCCAGATTTCAGGTATCCATCATCAACAACAAAACATACTTGTGGAGTGCATAGTTGACATTGACGAATGGTCAAATTTCTGATTATTGCGCAAAACTATTACAATCACTAATTTAAATTATACCAATGTAATATATATTATTAGTTAATAGTAATTTATAACTATTTCTATGAAGTATCTTATCCACCTAAAAACTACTAAACTGGCTACCATCATGAGTTTCCATTGATTCAGGAAGTATCTAAACCACCCACCTTGAAAGTCCTTCCATCCTTAACAAGTCATAAAGACAATAGTAAGAAACTGTAGTTATACTCACTGGCAATGATCCAGATTTCAAACATCCATCATTCATGACAAAACATACTTGTGGAATGCATAGTTGACATTGATGAATGTTCAAATTTCGGATTATTGCGCAAAACCATTAAAATCACTAGTTTCAATTATACCAGTGAAATATCCATTATTAGTTAATAGTAATTTATAACTATTTCTTTAAATATCTAATCTACCTAAAAACTGCTAAACTGGCTACCATCATGAGTTTCCCATGATACATGAAGTATCTAAACCACCCACCTTGAAAGTCCTTCCATCCTTAACAAGTCATAAAGACAATAGTAAGAAACTATAGTTATACTCACTGGCAATGATCCAGATTTCAAATATCCATCATCCATGACAAAACATACTTGTGGAGTGCATAGTTGACATTGATGAATGTTCAAATTTTGGATTATTTCGCAAAACCATTTAAATCACTAGTTTCAATTATACCAATGAAGTATATATTATTAGATTATTAGTTAATAGTAATTTATAATTATTTCTATGAAGTATCTAACCCAGCTAAAAACTGCTAAACTGGAAAAAATCATGAGTTTCCATTGATACATAAAGTATCTAAACCACCCACCTTGAAATTCCTTCCATCCTTAACCAGTCATAAAAACAATAATTAAAAATGATGGTTAAACTCTCAAATTTGTTTTATGTAGTGATCCAGATCAAGCATTCTTTATTATTATCATTAAGCATCTTTATTTTATTAATTCATATAAACGTAGCAAGTTTATTAAAATAAAATCTTAACCTTTGACATTGAATAAAATAAATTAGTGTTTCATAAGACTAATATGAGGGTCTCAGATCGTCAGGGGAGTCTTCTATGATAATTTGAACAGAACATAATTATTCTTCTATATTTAATACATAATAACAACAGTAATAAGTAATTATAATAATACATAACAATAATAAACCCTAATATAGATAATACTGTAGGATCAGAGTAAAAAATTGTAGTTTTAGGTTTGTAACAGTTTGCCGTGAGAGGTGTCCACTGTTTTAAATTTTTTCAAAACGGTTTGTATTTGCCTGAACCAGTCAGTATATTTGTTTTTGTTGAGTAGTAATTAAAAAAATATACTGGTTTAGGCAAGCACAAATCTTTAAAAAAAAAAGTAAAATAGTTATAACATTAAATCACTGTAATGTAACTAATATAGAACTATGGAAAAACTGTTTTAAAGAAATAAGAAACTCTGCAAATTAATCCCCACAAAGAATGTGAAGTTCACTAATCTTTCCATTATATCACGAAATTAATTTTGAACTAGAAAAATCAATATTTAATGGCAGCAACAGTTTAAGCATTGACATGGTGCTCATCATTGTAAGGAAAGGACCCGGGTTTGAATTCAGCAGTCCTGCAGTCGAACCCAATATATTTACAAATGGTTTTTTCAGAAACACCAGCACCCCAAGGGGTGATAAAGATACCGATGAAAAAAAAAAAAAAAAAAAAAAAAAAAACAGAAAGAGCTAATGCCTGAAGAGGTAGTGATGTTGATATTCTAGCTTGGGTAATCTGAAATCTATTTGTTCTCATGATTGGGTGTGGGTCACCACACCGAGAAAAAATTGGATTGTTAACCGTAAAATAACACTGAACAACTTAGACATCCCAGCAGGGAAAAAAACACGTTTCTATGACGTGGATTGTTAAAATAAGAGGCAATGTGATAAATTTAAATTATAAATGCTTTAAAGAACAAATATTATCTGTACTCTATGTAGTAGTCAAGAAGAAAATCTATTCCACTTTTTGGCAGTATGCTGCCTAAGGTTGAAACAGGCTGAAATAGTTTAGTGAAGAAACTGCGTCGGGTGAAAACATGTATGAATATATGTAGAGACTGGATAATATTAGTTAAATACTGTAAAGCGGCAGACAACTCTTGTGGCAAGCTATTACAAACTTAAAACTACATTTTTTTTTTCTGATCCCACAGTATTATCAATATAAGGGTTCATTATGGTTATGTATTAATTATAATTATTTATTACTATCATTATTATGTATTAAATATTGTCATGTATGTGTGGTGTTTAGTGACTGTTAGTTAATGATTATTTATAGATCGTGAGATGCGGTCTGATGTGACGTAGGTTTTAGAAAAACATTTTCTTTATCGTGCCAACGTTTCAATCCCTATTGAGATCATCTTCAGGGCTTGTGTATGTAGATGTGTCATTCTTGTGTGTCGTGTTGAGAGAGCCAGTGAGATATACCTGATATCTATATAAGATTGAAACGTTGGCACGATAAAGAAAATGTTTTTCTAAAACCTATGTCACACCAAATCGCATCTCACAATCGACAAATAATCATTGTCATCTATAATAATTATGTTCTGTTCAAATTATCATAGTAGACTCCTCTGGCAGTCTGAGACCCTCATATTAGTCTTTAAGATGCAATCATTTATTTATTCAATGTACCTGTTCGGTTAAGGTTTCATTTTAATTAATTTGCTATGTTTACATGAATCAATACAATAAACACACTTAATGGTAATAATAATAAAGAATGCTTGATCTGGATCACTGAACAAAACCAATTTGTGAGTAAAACCATCGTTTTAACTTTGAATTGTTACGGTTGAAAGGATTTTCAAGGTGGGTGGTTTAGATACTTCATTATTTCAATGAAAACTCATGATTTTAGGTCCACCAGTTGGATTTGGATTTATACAGGCTCAAATCCATACATGTATGTCGTACATACAAACATGTGCCAAGTTGAGCCTACTGGCAATTCCAGCTTTTGCTATTTACAATAAATTGCCTGCAGACTCGAGAATCACCCGCCCTGGTTGTTAGCAGTCCGGAGGCTGTCCTTAGTCCTATTGCACAGGGGGGGGTGCCAATTAAGCACCAACGCATTCATACTCACGTTCATTCTTAAATACATTCAGTCCCATTCCCATACCATACATTCAATTAGGGTGATGGAGTACTCGATATTCCTCCATCACTCTTTACACATTAACTAACCTAATTGAGGGTCGATGGATTCCCACCAGTTAACCACCAGAAAGGTGGATTAGTACTTCATAGAAATAGTTATAAATATCTATTCTTAATACAATTGCGACCGCCAGATCGTTTACGTTTCTAATACTGAGTACCCATGAAAATAATGAAATTCTGGATCTGGTTACCGAAAACATGTACCGCTAGGGCGAAGATAAAAATATAAAATATGTTTTGAAATATCAATGTTATAAATATATGCTGTTGTTGAATTACCCGTTAACATTCCTAAGTTTCTTTTTGGATCATTTTTTCTCCACTGACTATCTGTAGTTACTGCCGATGGATCCGCTTTCATATACGATCTGCGTTTTATTTCCGCGTAAATTGTGTTTACGTCACTTCCTTTCTCGCTAATCACTGCCAACAATAAGTCTCGATTCGATCTCGGAAATTTCGTCAGTATATATATTTCTTCATTTTCCACTATTTCGGTAAATTATTTTGAACCACCAAATATATTTAGTTCAACAATAAATTTAAGCTACTTCCGAACTTACAGATGGTTACTCTTCGATCTCACGTACTTTTTACTCCTGCTTATCTATAATGGCAGTGTATGACTGTGCCCTGTGGGTCTAGTTGTTTACTTTGTTTCTTTCTGACTAGGTTAGGTCGTCATTGGGCAACTTAGCTTTTCCAACCTTCAAACCATCATAGTTTTTAATATTATACATCAATATATAATGTATGTATATGTGTATGATAAGAAAAACATTTTCTTTATCGTGCTAACGTTTCGATCTTTATTGAGATCATCTTCAGGGCCTGGGATTTATAAACATTGTTTAAATTTAACAAATACATGTAGGATGTGGAAAAAAGTGAATTTATACAATGCAAAAAAATATATAATATATAGATTGTAAATCCCAGGCCCTGAAGATCACTAATCACCACACATTTCTATATGTGCATGTTTATACACAATATACATATATGTATAAGATTTTTTTATTGCCAATTTTGTTAATCAACATAATATAAATCACCTGTTTGTTGCATCTCTAAATGCAGGGGGAAATTTCATTTTAAAAAATGTATATATTAAAAAAAAGTTAATTTATATTTGAATGACGTGAATTTGCATTAACCGTCACGAATGTGTTAACTAATCTGAATAATGATTTTAAAGGATTTTATAAAGAATATTTTGTGGCAAGAGTGTTCTAGTATTGTATGCAGTATGTATTGGTATAAATGGTCTTAAGCAGACCAAGGTCTGGCCAACAACATCACAGTAAGTGTGGCTTGCCGTGACATCTCTCTAATTAAAAAATGGGTATTAAAGGAAAAAAAGATGTACAGTGAAATCCACAAATATATTTTTCAACAACCTAATTAATAACAATTATGCAGATATTTAACAGAAAATATCACATTAAATTCAGCCTGGGTCACCAAAGAAAATGAGCTAAAGTAATATATTTTATTAATTCTAATAATAAATTAAAATGAGAACAATATTTTTGCTGGTTTGTACATTTTAAAAGGAGAGGAACTATAAATTAAGTAGATGAACAGGGTCATTTTTTCATTTATTTATCAAAGGCTCACTTTGAGCTAGTTTATGAGATTTTATTGCTTTATTTACAACCACCACAGAAACCAAAAAAAAAAGCTAAACAAGAATCGACTTTGTTAGAATTTATTCTTCAAACTGAAGTGACTAATTGTTAATACTTGTAGATTGAAATGACACGTGACCTACTGGGCCTTCATCATGGGTGCGTCTTTCTTTTGCACCCCTGAGATAAGCTTCTTCATTTCGGCAATCGCCTTGGCAGGATTCAGTCCCTGGAAGACAACAAATAATTTGAATGTTAAAATTTATTAACACCATCTTATCAAAATTTTAATTCACCTTTGGGCAAGTTTTAGTACAGTTGAGGATGGTATGGCATCGAAAGACTGAAAAAGGATCTTTAAGCTTGTCCAGCCGCTCCTGAGTCATTTCATCTCTCGAATCGATCACCCACCTGTATGCCTGCATAAGAACAGCCGGGCCGAGGTACTTGTCGCTGTTCCACCAATAAGAAGGGCAGGATGTGCTGCAGCATGCGCATAAAATACACTCATACAAGCCATCCTAAAATTTAAAAAAAAATTTCATCTGGTATTTATAAAATAAGAATTACAATACAGACTGAAACAGTTCTCAAAAGCAAACTTTATCAGAGAAAATAGTAGTATGAAAACAATATCACAAATGCTTGATTCAAACCTACATTGAAATTAATTTTAATAATTATCAATGAAACAAAATTTAAAATGTCTTACAAGCTTCTTCCTATCCTCAACACTTTGCAGATGCTGGGAAACACCAGGAGGCTTGTTGTCTTTGGTCTGCAGATACGGCTGGATTGAGGTGTACTGCTCGTAGAAGTTGTTCATGTCTGGCACTAAGTCCTTGACGACGTACATATGAGGTAAAGGGTATATCTTCGTTGTATCAGAGCTGTCAATTTTGCTGAACAACAAGGAAAGACATTTAAATAATGGAATATTAATGGAAAAAATATTGAATTACCAAATGCAAGCTAGGGTATTGACACCACCAATGTTCATGGCACATGAGCCGCAAATCCCTTCTCGGCATGACCTTCTGAACGTCAGTGTTGGATCCATCTCATTTTTGATCTTGATCAAAGCATCAAGAACCATAGGGCCACATCTTGAACAAAATTTACTTACTTAAAAAAAAGCAATATTTTATGAAACCCTTTTGAAAACAGATATGCTGAATGCTTGAACAAGTATATTAAATTTTCTCTCTTCATTCAACCAAATTTCTTAAAGAAAACCCACTTGACTTAGACTGGCATGAATTTTTCAAATTACATTCAACAATCAAAAAAGCGAATTTTGTTTATACTTGTGGTTCCAAAAATTCAATTGGTCCAGGAGCAGCCTTATATGCGACTGAAACAGGTACATTCCAACAATAAACAGCAATTTCACCTCTGAGCTCACAGCCATAAATAAAAGTATAAATATTATATGCATGGATTCTTTGACTAAGCTGTTGGCCACGAAAAACCCATTTTACTTAATCCCATAGTCAAGGAAATCTTTCTATCCCTAGAGCTTTGAGCAGAAAGATGTTAAACAATCACTCTCTGCTTTTCAAACATTCTTTAAAAAGGAAACAGACTTGGCATGCCTAAGAATAGGACATTGTAGGCTTTCCCAAGAATTCCTCATGATCAAAGGAATCTCCTTGAATATGCCAAAGTTGTCATGAGTACTTAAGTCTCAGTCAAGCCCATCCTATTAGAATGTTTTCCATTTGAGGTAGAGAGTTACATCAGGTAGATTTGTAAAATCTTGTCTAGTAATAAATAGTTATAAAATAGAAAAATAATTCTCAATGGCTAACTGATCTCCTACCTAAAACTAGGTAATAACTTGCTTGTCCTACCTATGTAACTAGGTACATTGTTGTACCTTAATAACACACTCAAGGATTTTTTTTCATACCACTCGCATTATTATTCTGTTCAAAGCAGATTATGACCCATAATTGTTACATGACTTTACAAATTTATTAAAAATAGTAACAATACATTTTTACTAAGGGGAATAAATTACAATCTTTTGCCACAGCTTATTTATTCTGATTTTAATCATTGTTTACATGTACCACTTGTTCAGGGTGTGAAAAAACTGCAGGACATAATATTTTGCTAATATTTCACGCAGTATTTAATGGGAAATTGTGAGATTTGTTTGCAGGTTGATGAATCTTAATTATATTAAGATTTTTATCATTATCTATCATTTTTGATCTGCCTATCCTCGCAGTGTTGGTCTATTTATAGACCCGACACTGAATTTGGCAAAATGCTGAACATACTAAGAATTAGGAATTATTTAAGACATTAAAGACAAATGTAAGAAAATTGTTTAAACAAATCAAATTCTTTTTTAACAAGTATTCACAGCAGTAGAGACCATATCAACCCTCGGAGTGTGGGTGTTTTTGAAAAAAGCTTATTTGTAAGTATGATGGGTTCAAATGCAGGGCACTTCATTCAAACCTGGGGCCATTACCTTTCAGTGATGACCGCCACTGGCCCTAACTATTATTATAAAAAGAACTAGAATCAATCCAGTTTTTAAAAATTTTTTTTAAATTTATTTTAATCGTAAAGATGAGTGAGGTGATATTTGCCTGTAGGATTGTTTTGGTGGGGGAAAAATTCAGTGATAAAATAAGCTTCAATATACATCGGCTTGATGGCTTTTAATATTATTTCCACATAAGGAATGATTGAAATGATCTAGAATTACAGCAGTTGATTCCACTCATTCTAATAATGTCTTGACTGAAAAACAATATTATTCTGACAAGCGGACACAAGCTCGCTGGAATTTTAATTTTCAAAATGCACTCGTTTATACAGCAAATTACGTTTTTCAAAGGTTTTGCCATTAACATTTTGCTCTTCCAGCTTTACCATCACTGCAAATTGTTCAGCGCAGTATAGTAATGCAGCACTTGATCCAACAAAATATATTCAGGTTATTTTTTTTTTTTTTTTACCATCTTCAAACGTTAGTCTCAATATAATATTGATATCAGTTCCAATATTATAATTTTCTATTAAAAATTCAGCGATAAGGCTTATTTGAAAAAAAAGAAAAACACTTTTCCTTTGTCGAGCTTGTCACTATTACCAGGACTTTGATGAAGGGGATATATTCCTTGAAAGCTTGATGAAAGAACTGAATGTTTTTATTTTCTTTCAAATAAGCCTTATCCCTTATTTTTAATAGAAAACTGAAAAGTGATAGATGGTAATTAAAAAAAAGAAAACCTGTATAAGACCATATGTTAATTTTTCCTATGTTCCTTATCAAAATAATTAATTTTTCCATAAAAACATAGTAAAAGACTATTTAAATTCACGCATATTATGTAGATTAAATTTCATTATTGCCTAAGAAATGGCGAAAAAATAGGCTTGTCAATTATTTTTAAAAAGAATGCACTACTATGCTATTTGCAATTTTTCTTTTTACACAATCATATATTTATATGGGTCATAAAATAAAATAAAAATATTGTTAATTTCCTTCAGGCTATTTTTCCATAAATGAAAGATTTGTTTTTTATGAGTTTAAATTTAAAAAATTGCATATCCAACATTATTTAAGCAAATCAATTTTTCACATTTTTTTCATTAAAAAAAAAAAAAGGAAAAAATATACGAACCAATTTTAAAATAAACAACTCTTAAAAACAGATTAGACATTTTCCCAAATTGCTCCAAATATATCAAGTATATGTACTTCCTATCTAATGGATCATAATCAATCACAAACGTACTCAGTACCAAGTATCTCTATCAAGTTCAAGATAAGTGAAAGGACAACAGTAGAGAATAATGATAAGATTCAACTATAAAGACAGAACGAGTCTACACTGTGGGATATTACACTGTTTTTCTTGATGTTACAAGTCTGTTTTTGTTTGTTTTTCATGGATCAAGTTCTAAAGAGCTTTTTTTGTTGGTATATGGAAACAGTACAAGCAAACTCAATATATATCAAGCTCAAGATAAGTGCAAGGATATCACTAGCAGCTAACAAGAAGAATGAACTTGGAAAATGGACCGAGCATACAAGTTGCGAGTTTGTTTTCTCCCTCAGGTGTTGAGTTTTGTTTCCACTGTTCAATGGTCAATGTTGACCATGATACATGTGGAAACTGGTAGTATTAGTGGAAGGACTTCAGTACTGGCTAAATACAAAATTCAACTGAGAATACAGACGCAACCAACAATGACACCATATTTTAGTTTTTCATGAGTTGTGAGTTTGTTTTTCCTCCAAAAATTAAGTCAAAATACCAGGCATTCAAAAAGAGCTTTTCAACATCATAGTCTCAACATGTGGAAATTGCTAGTATTAGTGGAAGGATTTCAGTAGAGGCTAACGGCAAGAATCAACTGAGAAGACAGACCCAGCCAAAAAATGTGTGGTGTTTAGTGACCGTTAATTAATGATTATTTGGAGATCATGAGATGCGTTCTGGTGTGACTTAGGTTTTAGAAAAACATTTTCTATATCGTGCCAATGTTTCAATCTTTATTGAGATCATCTTAAGGGCCTGGGTTTTATAAACCTTGTTTAAATTATACAAATACACATAAGATGTGAAACATGAATTTATTCAATGATAATAATTTTAGACTCAAAGTATTTGTACTCACTCAAAGTGTTTTCTGTGTAGATGTGTCATTTCTGTGTGTCGTGTTGACAGTGCCAGTGAGATATTAATATCTCAATTAACTTTTGTTTTCAAAATGACCAGGCAGTCAGAAAAAGATTTTAACATCATAGTCAACATGCAGAAACTGGTAGTATTAGTGGATAGATAGTGGCTAACGAGAAGAATCAGATGAGAAGATGAAGCACGTCTACATGCCACATTTCACCATTTTTACCCCCAGCCATTAGTTTTCTTTTCAATGGCACTGGCAAGTCGGAAAGAGCTTTTATCTTAATTTTTAAATGTAGTAAAGGCGTACTCAATATCTATCAGGCTGCAAGTGCAAGGACCACAGTAGTGGCTAATGACAAGTATTGCCTTAGAAAAAAGACCATATTTCACCATTTCCTCTCAAGCCAATAAGTTTTCTTTTCAATGCAACTCGGCAAGTCAGAAAGAGCTTATATCATTGAAAGTAGTAGTGAAAGCACACTCAATACACCTATAAGTCCATGGACTGCAGTAGTGTCCAACAAGAAGAATCAGCACAGAAGACGGACCACATTTCACCATTTTTACCCCCAGCAATTAAGCTTTCTTTTCAATGCGACCGGACAAGTTAGAAAGAGCTTTTATCATTGTTAACATATGTGAAGTTGTAGTTACTTGTTCAGGTCAACCGTGTACTCCTGAAGGCGAGGCTTCTCCTCTGGTTTGTCCGGGTTCCATCTGTAGATGGCGAACTTTTTGTTCCTGACCGGTTTCGACTGGGATGCTGCGGCCGAGCATGCTGCAGAAATGTGTACACTTCTCGCCTGAAATTTTTACAAATGCTTAAAATTAAATGAGGAAAAAATTCGGGTCAGTGTGACTGTAGTCTTTCAAACAGTTAAACAAAACTTTAATTTTTTTCAATCATTCATTCTCATTGTTGGGAACTTAAAGATCGATTTAGTCTTTATTTTAACGTTTATTTGTTTAGATAAAATTATTAAAATATATTGAAAAATAGCCTTGGAATATCCTCCCCTGATTAAGGTTACGTAACTAATCCCTTTGAAAAACTGACACTTTCGGACGTTGTTTATTGAAAATTATCTTTTTTTAATAAATTAGCTGTCTAGGAGTTTTCGATTTAAAACATTTTCAAACAATATACCTGCGTTAAAGAGAGTTTACAGGCCCGGGAGAAAAGCGCTTCTGCAACGGCAGCCATTTTCACAACTGTGATAAGATTGAGAGAAAAAAATCAAATTCAAGATTAACAGGCGACCGGCTCACATTATGAAACAACAAAACAACGTCCGATTTTAGATAAATTTAAAACATTTTTTAATCGCATTTTTTATCTACGGTTCTGGATAAAATCTATCTGCCGGTCAAACCTCTGTTTTTCTGTCAACATGCTAAGAACCATCATGGGCGGGCAAATTTGAACTTTTTCAATGCAAAAAAGATCAACGTTTAACAAAAAATAAATTAAACTGCAGAAAACAACGAAATTTATGAAAAATAACTGCGACACCTCTTCGTTAAAAGAAAACTGCACGATGCATGATTACCATATCCTGAAATGTATTTTTTCTGATTGAATGTGAAGAGGACATCGCTGGTAATCATGGGAGGCGTCGGTGGCCACAACAGTTTAGGTGTTAACACGGCGCTCATCACTGTAAGGTAAAGGTCCTGGGTTCAAACCCGACAAACTTACAAATAGTCTAAAAAAAACACCAGCACCTTTGCTTGACAATGATCCCCAAAATTCTCTTATTCTGAAGGTCATCTCTGGTCTTTTTAACATAAAAATTAACATCTTTCATTACCATAACCCGAAATTAGTGTTTTCCAATTGATTGCCTAACCTGAAAATAATTTTATCTCAGATCAATCTGAAACACTTTTTCCTTAGCTTGAAATTGTTAACCAAACCTCTAAGTCTGAAAGCAGTCATTTGATCGTTTTAACAAAAAAGTAGTTTGTCTAAAACTAAAGGATCTGCGATTGCTTAAATATAAAATTTATCTTCTGAACCACTCAAATCTGAATCTCAAGCCTGAAGATGTTCATTTCTGATAGCCTTACAATTAGCATGAAATTGGTACATGACCCTCTTAGACAAAAGCTGCCATCTTTGATGATTTTAACGTAATGTCTTTCATCACCTTAACCTAAAATAGTAGTTCCCAAATTTGTCTAAAGCTAAAGGATTTACAATTACTTAAATCTGAAATATATCTTCTAAACCACTCAAGTATTGTCATCCTGAAAATGTACATCTCTTTTAGACTTATAATAGCTTGAAATTTGTGTATGATCCTCTTAGACTGAAAGCTATCGTCTTTCATAATGACTCACTCATGATGTCTTTCATCACCTTAACCTAAAATTGTAGTTTTCACATTAATTCTCTAAAACTACGTAATCCATCTTAAGTCTGAAATTGAGCATTAATCTTATCAATGATTACCATTTACCAGTATAAAGGTGATCATATGTGATAGTCCTAGCTTGCAATAGCTTGCAATTGATATATGATCCTCTGAGCCAAAAAGTTGTCATCTTTGATCATTTTAATACAAATGTCAACATCTTTCATCAATTTACCACCATAAACCATGATTGTCCATATGAAGGTGATCATATCAATTGACAATTATAATTAGGTTAAAATTGATATATATGTAATCCTCTTAGTGTGAAAGGGGTCATCTATCACTATAGTCCCCCACTGATAAGCAATTTCATCCTGCTTTAGATTAAATTCTCAATTCATTTGACTAAACCTATATATTAAATATTGCCATTATTTTCTTGTCTGAAAGTGTTATCCTTGAAAAACTAAAAAAATTGGAATTTAAATTTAATGTTGGCCCAGATAATATTCCTGTCTTAAAAAATTGTGCTGAAGGCTTAGACTTCCTTTTACTTATCAATAGAACACCTCATTAGGCACTAACTGCATGTGCTTTCAACTCCAAACTTGTCAGGGAGTACCTAAAGTCTTTAATGATTCTGGGAAAGCAAAACAAGATTACTAAAGTTATTCCTGGACATGAAACCATAAACGGGCTGATCAACTAGTAAAACAAAAATTATAAACATTTCAAAATGAAAGGTGAAAGACCTCCCTCTCTCAACAGGTGGGATTTGAGAAAAATTATAGGCCTCTACACCGGCCACCGTCCTCATAACTACCATCTTAAGAAGATGGGCAATGCTGAGACAGAATCATGCCAGCTCTGGCAGGACGAAACAGACATCGGCACATATCCTTTGCGAATATAAAGCGTTTACAGTATAGCCACTTCGGTAGGACATTTCTCATACGTAAGGAGATCCATGAAGAGGCACCAAGGAAAGTGCTTAATTTACAAAGAATAGCACACTTTCCCTATGGCTATAAACTGTAGGGGTTCCTCAACAGATCTTTTTATGCCAGTGGAAGAAAGAATTGTATTCTGCATCAACCCTCAAATAAACCTCTAAAAAAGCTACTGTGAATTTCCTCTCGATTTGGAAGACATCCCACATTATTCCTATTTATAAAAACAAAGACAAATCTAATGTTGAAAATTACTGTGGTATTGCTAAATTTTTCTCTCTAGAAAAAAAGGAACATGAAATTCTTTAGATATATATTTTGTAAAATGGCAGAAATTTGGAAAATTGTAATTTTAAAATAGATTATGAGTCAATAGGCTCCCTTTGCAATTTAAGAACACTAACTTCTAGGAGAGGTAAATGCGACGTTATTTTCTTATACAAATTATGAAATTATGACAGAATTTAATAAATTGTCCAGAATTAGTCTGAAAGTAATTACCATAGATCGTCTTAATCTAAAAGCTATTCTTTCAAACGGTCTTATTTCAAATGACTTGTCATTTCTGCAATTAAACAATCATTACTGACATCTGTTTCTTATAAAATTGAACGTCTCTGGTTATCGTAGTTTTAAATATTCTCACATGATGATAATCATTTAAAAATTTACAGACCACCCAATTTGTACAATTGATGAATTATAAATAAGAACACTGCAAGTTAAAAAAAAATAATCTGTTTATCCAATACAGCAGAGTCCCTACTAGGCTTTGATACTGCTCGAAATGTTTGCCAGAAAATATTTTTTCACACAAATACTGATTTGTACAACTTTGTGTATACACATATAATTACATCTGTAGATATTTAAAAAATTTAAATTTTGAATATAAACTTGGAGTATTGACCGTCTCTAATGTTTGCTATGAACAAAATAAAAACACGACAATCAGCCTGACAGACAAAACTAGTGAAAATAGGCCAGAATGATCTAATATACAAAAATTGAATTTTAACATTTTTCAGTATTTGAAGTATTGTTTTATTTGTCTCACAATTTTAGAATGTGCCACCTAACTGTCCAACCTGTATGCAGGTCAGACTCTCAGCCCATTGTCGCCACTAAATAACAACCCATTCCTGACCTCCAAAAAATATATCCTACAAAATATCTGGTCTATGTATGGAACCGTTACCAGTTCTTGGTGGTTTTTCACATTCAACTTTTTTCTTTGCCAGTAACATATCATGAAATCTGACACCATTTAAAGAAACCATTTGTAAAACAGTAGTTTTATTAAATTAATTATTTAACAATATAATTAACTGATAAAAAATAACCAAAAAACATGGTACTTTTTTTTACTTTTACATTCAAAGTCTGCTATATGGCTAAGGCGTAGGTATACCATGCATATTATTTCTGTTAGTATGCTGAACTTTTAACTTCAATATATAAAAAGGTATATTTATTAGCCTTGGAATTTTTTTGGAAACAGATAATTTTGGTATCATTATCAAACAAATAAGTCCTTTTCATATGAACATTAGCATGCATCCAAATTTAATTGAGAGGTATGCATTGAGCTGATCTGCAGTGCAAAAGCACATTTTTATTAAGTACTTAATCCATTGAAAAGCAACCCGCCTACAGGCATGGTACAAGGAAGAGATTCTAAAATAAACAAACATTAAATTTTAATAAATATTTCAAAAAAACTTGTACATGTTTTCAGGTTAAAAGTATAGTTTACTCAATTCTTGATCATTTTGTAAAACAAAGGGAATTAACGAGAGAAACCTTTCAGTGTATAGTATTTTATTTGACAATGCTCTGACAATATCAATCAATTAATTTGACATAATTATTTTGTTACATGTAACTTTCAATTTGATCTGGTTGTGAAATTAAAAATAAAATCAATGGTTGTCAAGGGAAAATGTAAAAAAAAAAAATAATAATAATAATAAAAATAAATAAATAATATCTTTTGAAATACTATACATACAGTCCAAGATCTCTTGCCTTTTAATTTGCATGCTGATTACGACCAGATCACAATGTCATTTCTCACAAATTCTCAAGCCGCTTGTCAGGAGAAAAGCAACATAGATACTAATGACATGATATAAAGGGTAACAATGCCGACAAGTGTAAAACACAATATTGAAAAGAACCAGACATATTGACCCCTGCAAGCGACAAAAAGAAAACAATAACTATAAAAATGTAAGTGCCACAATATCAGAGGAACAAAATTTTTGCACAAAATCCTCTTATCTCCCATAATCGCTTATTCACCAGGCTTTTTAAAGCAATTAAACACATTTAAGTTAAAGTTTTTCATTCATGTGAAGATTGTCTAACTCGTCTCTAGTATCAAGACAGCCGTATTTACAAAAATATCTGTCTTCAAAGATTAACATACAATATTTTAGCCCCTAAGATTCGTGTCTTAGTTTGACAGATATATTTTGCCTCGCTCTAATACCCGATTATTTTTAATGACAGTATTATAAAAATAGGTATGATACAATTAAGTCTAAAAAATTCACAATATATACATTTTTATATAATACTTCGGTATGGTGTATACCTTTGTCAATATATATATATATATATTTTATATACTATATGTACATATTTTGAAGACATTGTGATTAAGTTTTCCCCCTCGTAATGAGTATGCAAATTTTATTTAAGGGCACGGCTCTTATGAGACCATGTCCACAAAAGACTTGACGTACGCCTCATGAAGTTTTTTAACAAAATCAGCATCATTTTTGAGAAGGTAGGTGACCGCTTGGATGAGCTGAGATTTTGTAAGGGGCTCTGGCTGCACCTTGGGGTCCTCTTTTACTGATGAGACTGTGGATGTGAACATGCCGGGCGGGAGGAGAGCAGGCTTGCAGGGTGTCTGGATGCTGGCGACGTTTCGCTCCAACTCGCTCACCTCGAGCGGCTGGTTCTCCAAGGAAGAGGGCGAGTTGAAGAAATGTTGCCGCGCTTTAGGCGGCGATTCGGAGATTCTCATGTAGCTTATTCCGTTTTCCAATTTCTGCTGTCTGATCGGGAGTGAGACGGGACGTTCATCCTTCTTGAGTTTTCTGATTGAGTGCTGTTTCTCAATATCCTGCACATGAAGCGGGTTCGAGCCGGACATGAGCCGCTGCAGGATGGGGTTCACATCAGGCTGTTTTGTGTTCTGAGGCGGCCTCGGACCTCCACCGAACGGGCCGGCAACCGATTGAGACGGGGTCTTGTTACTCGCCTTTGCAAAGAAGTCCATCACTCTCGGATTGGCCCCTTCGACGCCCGACGGCGAGCTCTTACCCTCCGACTTACAACTGTTGGACGATTTCTGCTCCATGACCAGTTTTTCAACGGCGTTCGCTATCCTCACGCACTCGTCCCGGTCGTAAAACCATATGCCGTGGATCGAACCGATGGAATTTCTGTACAAGAGGAACGGCTCTTGCAACTGTATGTCCAGCCCTTCGTCGACCGGTTCTATTAAGTTAAAAGTGCTCAACCTATTCAGTACAAATGCGTTGTATTTAGGCTCACCTGTTCGGCTATATATAAACAACGCTCCTTCTATGTTCGTCTTCTCCCATTCTTGGAGTTCTGAATTAAAATTGTACAAGGCGACGTGGGCGGCCGTGTCCAGGATTTCTTTCACTAATGGGTCCGCTAATTTCAGCGCTGATACGTTCATAGAAGTTTCGGCCGCTTTCGCCATTTTTACCTGTCTTGTCTGGTAATTCTGAGAATGCATCCTACCAACGTCCCACTTGGACGATACTAATAACAATTTTACATCATTTTTAACATATCTCTAAATATTTCTGCCGCAATTTCACCCTCTTCAAATAATCCACTTATTTATTCTTTAGAAACCGTTCTTATTTAGTGCTTGAAAGCAACGGTCGGCGAGAAACGATCGACCATTGAATTCCCCACTTAGAATTAGAATCGTGGAGGGGCGACCGGACCGCGACAAAAATCACTTCAGATTTATATACCAAAATTAAGTTCACCACGTAAGAAATTCCTTTTTAAAAAAAAAACTTATTTTCTAATAGTAATAATAATAATAAGGCCTTTATTACCATAAATGACATTTTTTAAATATTTTTTACAAAAACATTGTTAGTCAAACATCGTGGTCACAAGAACGTCCAATGTACATTTCTCTTGGAGTAGTTTTAACTTAACAGCAGGCAAATAAAACTAATTACATTTTTTTTTTTTACTAACTCATTATCTAATAAATAGAAAGAGGCATACAGATTAAAGCTACCCACGCGGACGGTCGACCTAGTATATTTGTCGATCTATATTTATTTATCTTTATTCTATATCTATTATTATTATTTATTATCTTTATTATTGTCATATCTAATTATTATTATCTTATTATCTTTATTTATCTTATTCATTTATCTTTATATATCTGATCTTGTATATATAAAGAAGGACAAACAGTGTGAGCTCATATTTTGTCGAGTAGATTTGCTGATTTGAGGAAATCAAACAAATTACGTATATGTATTATCATTGTTGTCGCCTAGCATTTCTTGGATGCTTATAGGCAAGGAGTGTAAACGTCTATGGGCTGAATATAATGAGCATGACGTAAGTATATGTTTGATTGTGACGATTTGATTGCACATTCCGCAAATTGGAGGTGCCTCTCGCCCCATCAAATGACCCTTAGTGGCTCTACAGTGTCCAATCCTCAACCGTGCAAGAACCACTTCTTCCCTTCTACTATTTCTGAATGAAGTAAGCCACGCATCTACAGAGTTCTTTATTTACCGTAGTTTGTTTTCAGATATGTTAATCCAGACCTGTTCCCATTGACCCTTAACTTTTGCCTTGTAAACTATATAATAGGACCATCTATAATTTTACAATGACTAATCTACTTTTTTTTTATAGTGTTCACCCTAATTTTGTGGAACTCCATAATAAGTTGATAGGTAGGAAATAAATTTTCTTTTTCACAATAGGTGGTCCGCCATCAACTTGCTAATCTATACATATAAATATATAGGTTGAGATGGGGAGTTTGTGTCCGAGTGGATCTAAGTCACGATAACTCAAGCACGCATATTTAGCCGAAGGTTCGAAACCCGCTCGTGGCACTAGCTTTTTCATTTCAACCAAGACCTTACATAAAAAGATTAATTAATGAAAGAAGTAATTTGGACAACCGGACAACTAAATATAATGGACTTACATATAAAATTGTTCCGTGACTGACTGACAGGTAACGCATAGATCAAACCGCTGGATCTAAAAGAGCTGAATTTTTGATAATGCATTCCAGTAATGACATGGATAACCGTTAAGAAAGGATTTTTTTAAATTCCATCCCTATCTATATATAAAACAGTTCCGTACTGACTGACAGACGACGCACAGACCAAACCGCTAGATTTTTTGAAATTCCATCATTGAGGGGCTCATATCGAGAATCGTTTGCCATGTATAGACCGAAGTGAACTGAAAAAGAGAAGAATTTGAGAAATGAGGTATTATATTAGAAAGCCATACTAGCACTCTGCATCGCATTAGAAAGGTACATTGACGAAGTCACGGGCAAATGCTAGTTTAGTAATAAATACACTTTAGACCACTCATTACTGTCATAGTTAACCTAATAGAGTAACTTCCTAACTTTTTACAGAACTAATTCAAACAAACGGCTTTGCCCTCTTCAGACGTCTTCCGATGTGCAGAATATGCATGCAGTACTCACCGCCAGCATCGGGTTTCGGAAAATATATGCCAATAGGTTACAGAAATAATTAATAATTGATAAATAATGAAATAATTAATAAATAATGAAATTGAAAATAATAAAAAATGAACATAATTAATAATAATAGTTGCGAACATACTAGAGGGCAGCTTTTTTTTTGGGGGGGGGTTTACCTGAGACATGGACATTTGCTTTTTCTTATTTCACTTCTTAATGTTAAATTAACAGACGACTTTTTTTGTACTTAACGTTTTTCGATAAACCTGCAGTGATCATTCAGAATGTTATTTTATCAATCGTGTCCTATTCGTAAGTTTAGTTAACGAAAATAAGTTATAATATAATACATAATTTATAATTATTTATATCTATATAATAATAAATTTTTCAAAAAATATTTTATAGTAAGAATTTGTTTTAAAGTAAAATAAGATTATTTAATGAAAAAACAAAGAAAATCAGTAAACAATAGGCAAATATACTTGTATATGATTGAATATTAAAAAAAAATGTATGAATGTGGATTAAACTGGGGGGAAATTTATCTAGGTGGTTCGGGTCGTTAAGTTGGCCCGACTGAAGTGGGTGTATCTCAAGTTGTTTGTTAATCCCAATAATTTTTTTTATTTTCTTAGCTCTTCCCCCCTTTTTTGTTTGATTTTCTGTCTCGAATCCGGAAAAATCCTGGAAAAAGTCTGGATCGGACATTGCTTGTCCAGGGGAAAGGAAGACGATTGATTCCGAGAAGAATCTCATCACATTTCGACCGGAATCCAGGACTGACCGCCTGGCCTCCGACAGGGAAACGGTTATGTGACCAAAAAAGCGGATTCCGAAGATAACCGGCGTCTGAATATTAGAAAGTGGACGGGCGATGCCGCCGGCCGGCCGGTGAAAATGCAGTTGATACGCCCCGGCTCGTCGAGGCTGGATTGACGGCTCTCGGCCCCGAGGATCAACGGACAAAGCGGACCCAGAGTGATTCTCGATGCCGCTCCATTTCCAAATCAATGAGGGCGAAAACATACCTTATCGGATTCATTTGCACCGTGGCAACGACTATCGTTCTCCTAGCGTTCGGTGATCAACGCCCAAAAATCCAGAACCTCGTCTCTGAAACGCACCGACAGCTGAAAGACAACTTCAAAACTATCAAGGTCCGATTTCATTTAATACTTGTCTGTTAGAATTGACTGCTTCACACTGGGTCATTTGCAGCATCATTGTGTCATTCATATGCAGAATGATCATGTTCTATCCTATCAGGCATGACACTGTTGTTACATATGAGAGGACCACTTTCAAAACTTGTACAGAACCCTCAGAACAGAAAATGATCAAACCGTCACTAATTAAAGGATGACAGTCAACATTAAACTAACTTATCTTCCATATTTTTTATCATACTTCTGTCATAACATCACAAATCTAGAGCCTTGTTTTGAAATAAACAGATAGCTGAAATACAACTTCAACACTTTCAAGGTTCGATATGATTTAATACTTGTAAGTTAGAATTAACTGCTTCAAACTGGGTCATTTGCAGCATCATTGTGTCATTTATGTGCAGCATGATCCTGCTCAATCCTATCAGTCATGGCACTTGCTACATGTGTCAATACCACTTTCATAACTTGTACGAAATCCCCACGATACCCGAAAATGGCCAAACAGCCCTTATTAAAGAATGACTGTCAAAATTGACCTAACTTTTCTATCATCAGTTGAATTTTTATCATACTCGATTATTCTGTCATGCCAGGTATTGGTCAGTCCTTCTGTCATAACATCAACAAATAGAGAATTTATTTGTGGAATTCACTGACAGCTGAAAAACAAATTCTAAAATATCAAGTTTTGATACCATTTAATATTTGTCTGTTAGAATTAACTGCTTCAAATTGTGTCATGTTGCAGCATGATAATGCTCACTCCAATCAGGCATAACACTGTTGCTACATGTGTCAGTTCCACTATCATAACTTGTACGAAATCCCCAGGAGACCTGAAAATGGCCAAACAGCCCCTATTAATGAATGACTAACAAAATTGACCTAACTTATCTTCCATAACTTGAATTTTTATCATACTTGATCATTCTGTTGTACCAGTCATTCTATTGACCAGTCCTTCTGTCATAACATCGACAAATCTAGAGCCTTGTTTTGAAATTCCCAGACAGCTGAAAGTCAAATTCCAAAATATCAAGTTTCAATATGATCTAATACTTGTCTGTTATAACTAACTTCTTCAAACTGGGATAAGTTGCAGCATCATTGTGCCATGTATGTAGAATGAACATGCCCGACCCTATCAGGCCTGACTCTGTTGTTGTGTCAGTTCCACTTTTGAAACATGTACGGAATCCCCAGGAGACCAAAAAATGATCAAAAGTCAATAATAGTAATTCTTCAATTATTGAAGAATATTTGTCAAAATTTGCCTAACATCTACCACAACTCGAATTTTTATAATACTCGATTATTCTGTTATGCCAGTCACTCTAGTTTCAGTATTAGAAGTATCAACCACTTTTTTCACTTACGAACACTGGATCAAGGTATGGTCTTGAAGAAGAAGAAGAAGAAGGCATTTTGTAGCTATTGCCAATCCTTTGACCTATTCACTAATTTCGTGGTCTGCTTGACCAATTAATATATTACAATTAATTAAGGTTTTTAGTTGAGATAAAAAAGTCAATGGCACGAGCGGGATTCGAACCCACAATCTTCGGCTTGATACGAACACGATACTACCACTTGAGCTATCGTGACCTCGATCCACTCGGACACCAACCTCCCATCTCAACCGCAGCGCATTGGTAGAGCAGCGGCGCATCAAGCCGAAGATCGTGGGTTCGAATCCTGCTCGTGCCATTGACTTTTTTATCTCAACTAAAAACCTTTGACCTATTTTAAGCTCATCATCAGCAAATATAAACATCGTATAAATATATATATATATATAATCAATTGTCGTTTTTTTTTTTTTTTTTTTTTTTTTTTTTTTTTTTTTTTTTTTTTTAAAGTTAGGTTAGGTGCCTTTCGGTGTTCTTCATTTTTGGTGTTGAGATGGTTCCATTTTTTTGCAGTATCTTTGCTGCATTTGGGTCAGTTCTCTTTCATAAATTTTTCATAAAAAATAGACAGGAGTTTAGAAAATACCATATATGAGCCAGTGGCCAATAAACTGTGGTTTAACATGTATGATTTGCACGTTGAAAATTCAACATCAGCTTGATCATACTCGATACCCAAGATGCTTTATGATTCATTCTTTCGTGACCAAACGTGAAACATTTCTTGTCTTATTTATACCTGAACTTGTGCTAGATGCTATTTCATAATGCATTTTCTAACTTTAAGAAAAAAGAGTGAAGGACAAAATTTTTTCTTGAGAGGTTCATTCTGTTCAATTTGATTAAATGTGCATATGCTAGACAAGCCTGATTTCCCTAAGTCTCCTTCTAATCGTTGTAGTTTTTTCTTCTAGGATAAGCTAGAGGGAGGTGCTGAAAATAACAGAGGTGGACTTTATGTCGATGAGAAGTACCTTGTCCTGCTTGGACTGGCAGGGGATAAGCAGCGGACATACCCAGATGACGTCTGGAGCAACACAACGCTCCCGGTCATCGTGTCGTACGTCTCGCCAGCTGCCATTAGCCAGGCGGTTGGGCTCGTCCGCAACATTGGGCACTTCCTACCAAACCACACTCTACTTTTGTACAACATCGGCCTCTCAGAAGACCAGCTCCAAACGGTATAAGATTCAAAAGTCTGTTTTTCTCTGTTTGTTTAGTTAATATATGGGCATTTTTTCTAGATGGCATTGTACTGTAACAGTTCAAGATGTGTGATCGTGAAATTCGATTTATCCGTATTTCCACCTCATGTGTCTGATGAACATCTACATGCTTTCCGTCCTCTTATCATACAGGTAATTTAAAAAATTCTATAAGTTGTTGACCAAATAAATAAAAATTGATTTATGCTTTAGGATGCAGTAAGTAGAAGCGGTGCTATTTTCTATTTAGAAAATGACCAACGATTGACAACAAGTGACATATCACCACTTGTGCAAAGAGCTTCATCTCAAGGTGTGCTCACCTGGAGGGCAGCTCACCCTGTAACTGCACTCACTCACCCTAGAATGCTTAGGTAAACACAACAAATTTATAATTTTTTACCGTTGTGACAATTATAATTTATTTGAACAGATATTTCACTGTGCCGAGTGAGTCGTTTTTCTTCACGCACATGGTAGAAGCGACAAAGCTTCTGTTGTACAACACTGCTCCCTTGCGTCAAGGGGTTATGCTTCCTTGGGTTAAATGTGCTCTTAATCATGACTGTATATTTCCACTAGGTGAGTAAATGATTATTAAAACTATAAATTTCAACCTAAAAAACTAATTTTCATAGAGGATGACTTTATCGCCAAATTCAATCTAACATAACACAGGAGATATACAATTTATTTTATTACTAGCATTAATATATTGTTTGCTTAACACTCCAAGAATAAACAGATCAGAAATCAAATTGACTTAAAATGCTAGCTGCAGACTTATAACTCAATTAAAAGATAAATTTAACTTCCTTATATATCTTTTCTTTAAAAAAAAGAGTCAATTTCCTGATTTATTTTTTTAAATGTTCATTGTCTTTTTTTTTTTTTTACATTTGTGATTCAGGAGCACAATCTGTTGGATGTAGATTCGACAAAAAGCCAAATTATAGGTATTCAGGTTGCCATGGGAATGATGCTTCGGCCCTCTCGGTCCTGCTCGGCCTGCTCTTCAACTCGGACACTGATGAATACTCAATCCAAGCCGAGGCAACGACACAGTCCAATGGCTACTTCAGACGAGTCGATTCAACAGAAGCAGCCTTAGAGCTGTCTTCGATGCAGGACAACTCGACTGACTCTACCGGACTTTAGACCATTGCTTGTAACGTTTTAAAAGATAGTTGTAAAACAACGCTCTTTTTTCTTTTCTTTTTTCTTCATTGTAAAGTAGTTATAAATTTGTGATTATTGTTGGCGCTGATTAAAGTGATCTCATAAGTTTTTTTGATTTAATTTCTTAAATGTCTAACTCATCAAGGAATTAAGTCTTCCAACATATTTTTCTTTAGTTAAATTTAAATATATATATATATATAAAAAATATTAAAAAAAAAAATAGCGCCACAATTTATTATTGTTAATGTGCTCATTCGATGAGAAATTCTTTTCTGGTGTATAAAGGATTGAAGAGAAGTTTAAAAAAGAAAAACTGCTTCACAAGTTTAAAATAATAAAATAAAAAATAAATTAAAAGATGCAAATACGATACATGGACTGTTTTCAACTTTGATTTCTCCTTTTTTTTCGATATTATTTATGAGGAATTTGTAATAATACTTAAAAAGTTAAATTTTTGAAAAGTTAATTTCTAAATTTTCTCAAATTTTATGCTGATCAAAATTAATTACATACGTGGGTAAAATAATTAAAAAGGGTGGGTTCTAAAAAATTATAATAGTTTTATATTTTCTCCTCTATTTTTTCACTTTGTTGTTACAGGCCACAAATTGCTTTGATTTTAATACAAAATTTGAACTTTTTGTCTATAAAATCCCCCCCCCCCCGTAAATAGTTTCTTATGAACACCAGAGCGTAATTTGTTATTAGATACTAACCCAGATATTTTTTTCTCCTAGTGTTACATTTTAGTCTGTGATTCTTTTCGTTGTTTTCCACCATTTGTGTTAAAATAGGCACAATACTTTATTTTTTATTCATTCAAAAAACAAATTCCTATCATGCTTGATACCTTTTCTTCTTTGAATACTAGCTAGTCACATTTTTTTGTTTTTTTATTTTTAATGATTAATTTAAATTTTCTAACCTAGTCTAGTTACGAACAGTTGTTGTTATGTATTTGCTATGAAGTATATTTTGATATAAGATGATTTTATTAGTATTTTATAGTTGTCATCAAACGGTTTCTGTTTTGTAATTGTTAATCGACCTCCCCCTCCTTGCTTTTTTCAAATACATCGATTAGATTTCCATGTAGTGCATAGCGACTTTAATTTACATTTACACTTCTTGTAGAATGTTGTAGACAACTTAATCTAGAAGGGAAAAAAATTAGCCAGTAGCAGTCGATTTTGAACCAAAATAAGTAAATACTAAAAAAAGATGGAATGTTTCTCATCATTTCTTAAATTTTCTATCCCCAAATACAAATATCCCTCTTCTAATACAAGCTATTTTTTTAAAATCTGATTTAAATCTTATTCTATTTCTGTTTAAAAAGAAAATATATACAAGGAAATATGGGAACAAAAGAAATCAAAGGATAAGATATGTAAAAACCAACTGCTTTAAGGAATGTTGAGCTTATAACAGGTGTTTTGTATTCAATGAAGGATGTTTTTTAGAATATGTATATCATAAAATTAATAAAAATCATATTGAAAAAATGAATTGTATTATTGTTAAATAATAATGGTCAAATTTTAATAAGGTCAATAAAAATTGAACTGTTTACTAATTTTTGGTCTACCAGATGTTTCCCATTTTGCCTTCTTTAGTGGTTGGTCTGTCGAAACACATTAGACAGACAAAACTTTAAGACTGGATGGTATACAAAAAAACAACAAAAAATTATGACTTTTTCTCTTTGGTTTGACCTCTCCTCCTCGATCATTTCAACTCAGATTGTTTAAAATATGTAATATTAAAAAATATAATTTGGCAATTTACCTTTTACTTTCGTAGAATGAAGTTGGATTGTTCTACCAAAAGGCCAGCTTTAAGACCTCATGCTAGGCCTTAACACCATCATCACCATCGAGATTTTGAGGGTTTGGTGTTTTTCCACTGAAGAAACCCCATTAACCCATTTTTGAAGGGGGTCGGACATAAATTGGGTCTTGGATATTCGAATCTTCCATTGCTCCTCTTATTGGTCAGAAAATCCAGAGACAATATGGCGAAACCCCCAAGTCTACGAATGTACTAGCAGAGAGTGTGATACCTTAACCATTTACTTATCGCGGTCTTTTATTTAATTTATTCCTGATTTTGTTAGAAACTGTTATTTTAAATTATTTAGTATATGAATTTTGTTTTGAATGAGTTCTATGGCTTTTGTGTTATCAGATTTTTTAAAAACACAAATCAAGACAGTTACACCCCATAACCCTCCCCCCTTATTATCTTGAATTCCAATGTTTAAAATAAAAGTGCTTACATTTTGTAAGAATTTATTGCATGATTGTCATTATTGTAAAGATGGATCGAACATTTGCCCCCTCGCAGTGCCAGCACCATGTGCACGATGGCTCCCCCATGCAGCTTGTAGTCTTCTGCTGTTTGCTGGTCGTTCATCTGCTTCCCGGAGAATATGAGTCGCTGCTGTTCGGGTGGTATGCCCTCCTTCTCCTCGATCTGTGTCTTTATTTCGATGACTTTATCAGACGGTTCGACCTGTAGCTCTAAGACTTTTCCCGTCAGCGTCATAACCTTGATTAACATCGTATTAATGACAGTGTTCCTTGGAAATCTTGTCTGCTGTGCTTAAAACATTTTTCTTGTCTAAAGGTTACATGTCAGTTTTTTAAAACAATTTTTATTGGTTTCTCTAAAAAAAAAAAAATCATAAAAAAAGAAGCACAGCTGACAAAAATTTAATAAATTGAAATACAAGAAAATCTTTTCTGTGTTTATTAGTATTCTCATTTTATTCAAGTTCATTTCTACGTATATACCTTCTAAATTATCCAAAAACTGCCAAAATATGGAAACCAAGCAAGAAAAAGAAAATCGTTTTCCATAATAATACTGCTTTATTATATAAATAAGATTAAATGTATCAAAAATAATCAAACATCTATATAACAATGATCCTTGGACATAAAGAATTTATACATAATTAATTAATTGTTACCGTACAAAAATATGGCTAACAAAGAATTATTTTTAAGGGGAGTCGGTGGCCGCAATGGTTTAGGTGTTCTCATGGTGCTCATCTTGGTATGGTAGAGGTCCTGGGTTCGAGTTTTTTTTTTGTTTTTTTTAACACCAACAGCCCTTGGGTTGATGTTGCACACAATCAGAAAAAGTAAATAAATAATTTATTTATTATTAAATTTTGAATGCTTTGCAGTGCAAACATTGCTTGAAGAAGTTGAGATGAAAATTACACTTTGTAGCATTTTTCAAATTGCACAAGCCCGAAGGATTTGCAAATAATTATAGGATAACCGATAAGTACTATTTTATTTTTTTAAATGGTATTTATTAATTTTTGATGCAACAATTTGGTGTTTACTTCTAGAAAACGACTATGATTGGATTTAGTTTAAAATGTGAAGCACAAAGCATTAATTTACAAAATGGCTGTTCATTCAGTCCAACGAAAACTGTGGGACTACTGTGGAAACCAAGAAGAAGAAAAAAGGTAAATTTGATAATAATAATAATGCGTTATTTTATTAAATTAAGTACAACAAAAGTAAACAAAATTTTTATCATAATGATTCTTGGATATATATATATAGAGCCAGTACAGATAAGTTGATTTTTACGTTATCAGAATTATCCTCACTGATGATGCAAAGCTGAAACACATTTGAGTAACATCATGAAACCTGTGAGTGTAGATAAACCAAGTCCTGGTCCAACATGTGTCACTGACTTACAGACGATTATCCACCATCAATTTATCTAAATTGTTATATTACAAAAATATATTACAGAACCACCGCAATCTGGCCCCCTCTGATGTCAAAAGTGCTATAAAAAAACATGATTAAAAGATACGGGCTGGGTCAGCAGAGCAGTGTATCAATAACACGAAGAAGATAAGTGGGGATCATCCTGAGTAAGAATAGGCCATACGAGGTTGACACACGGACAGTTACTCTTAGGCCAAAGTCTGGCATGTGGAGAAAAGTAGCTCGATGTGTTCCACTTAAATAAAGGGTGCAATTCCTTGGCTCCATATATAGAGCACATAGGAATGTCACCTTTTTATGAGAATTGTTCTTGAGCTTGATCAAGTAATTAGGTGGGGGACCGCGGTTACTTAGGGGGTTAGCATGAGAGACTCACGCCGCGGTCGTGGGTTCGATTCCCACCGTCGCCTCTGGCCCTTTTTTCCCGATAACCCCCAATTTGAACACACAAAGAATTCGTACCATGGCTAATATGCAAGATCATAAGGCCAATAAATAATAATAATAAAAAAAAAAAAAGTAATTAGGTCTTCTGTTCCAATTCTTGGAGCAGACAATATTGTTTATTCTATATGGTACTGATAGTTTTGTGTCCCTAGTGTGTTGAAAGTGAATGTATTTATTGGCGTGAATGTGTAGTGTGAGATGGCCAATGAGAAATACTGATTACCCCATCCACCCTCAACTAATATTTTATTTTTTGAAAGAGTATTTAATGATTTTTGTTGAAATGAATAGGATTAATTTAAACATCCGAAGTAAAAATCATCTCCTTCATAAAATGGCTGTACATTGTGCCCATTGAAAAAAGCTGTCCACATACCACAAAAAAGAAAAATGGAAAGTTTCAATGCTTTGCAGTCAATAATTATGTTTTATTTGGTTAAATAACATTAAGTATGTATAAAAAAGTAGACATCTATGTGTATGATAATGGTTCTGCAAAATAGATTATCAACCAGCTAATTCAATGCTGTCAGTTATCGGGTTTGTGGTCAAGATAATTGGCAAGGTTTTGTTTTATTGCCAAGCTTTCGACTGAATATTTAGTCTTCTCAAGGCGCTACAATGACAAAAATGATTAACAATACAGTAATTCAAGAAGAAATACACATTTTTTGTTTCAGACTTACAAAAACTATGTCCTAAGTTTATTAATATTTATGAACATACAAAAAACACATAACCAGTAAACTAATATTGACAGTATTTTTCTTTGTTTAGTATATTTTTAGAAACAAGATGAATATTAATATACCTATTAAAATTATTATTTAATGCTAAATTTTTCTTGTTCATTGATGGTAATTATTTTTAGGTACATTCATATTTGAATTGTCAATACTGTACAGGGCACAGATTGCATCTAGAGCTTGGGATGAATATGATTTGTGCATTTTTTTAAATAGACACAAGCCCAAGGCATTTTTAAATATTTATGTGATGAGAAGTATTTCATTTATTGAAAAAGTATTTTATGATTTTATTTGAAATAATAGGGTTTTGATATAAAAATGAAAATTTAGATAATCGTGGGGGTATGAAGTTGGCAGTGGGGATGAGCCGGCGGCCGTGGTGCGGATTTTATCTCTCAACAGTCGCGTAACCTCCATTCACTATCATTGACCCCTTTTTTTAATGTAATCCCTCAAAAATCGAAAATGTTAAATTAAAAATTTAAAAAATGGCATAAGTGCGGCGGAAGGGCGTCATTCTTAGGTTTTAGACTCGACTAGTCAGTAAAAAGGGTTGGAAGGCCGGGAGGAGTTTCCGTATAGTGAAAGAGAGAGAGAGAAAGAGTGAGTGAGAGAGGAGTGATGTCATTCCGATCGGGCCGCCACTTCTGACCGGACTCGACGGCCTGCGACGACGATGCGTTTTTGTCGGTAGATGCTGATCGAGGGCCGATATGTTCACCTCGTCGAATGGGAGCAAGAGCTTCTCACTCGCCAACATAATCGAAGAACAGCTCAACAATATCACATTGGGTGGGAATCCTTTGAATCTGGTGGAGCCGGAGAGCGGCTTGGGTCTGGAGGACACCCTCGCGCCCGTGGAGGAGGCCGGCTCCTCCAGGAGGAACAGCATCCCCGGCTCCGGCTCCAGCGCCTCCAGAGACGACGGCAGTCCGCCGGTGGACAAGGCCGTCGAACCTCTCCAGCAGAACGAGATCCGGTGGTTCTACAAAGAGGCCGGCTCAAAGACCTGGCGCCCCTTCAACGGCCACGATACCATCAGCATCGAGTCTGTGTTCAGGACCCTGCCGAAGGAGGTGCAGGAGTCAAAGGGCAAACACGGACAGCCGAACGCCAGACCAGCTGAACCGGCAGTCTCCAGTGCCTTAGATAACAAGCCCACGGGGGCAAGGACACCGACCAACCCGAAAGTCCTTGTGCTCGGAGGGCTTTACGAAGTTGATCTTGTTGATCGGACGTGCCTCTCCATCTATTGGCCAGGTATCACATTCAACTTATACTATAGAACAAAAATACATATTTCACAAGTTGACATGCTTGTTATTGTTTGGTTGTCTCCAATTATTTTGGTCTGTCAGATGTATTTTGGCTTTTCAGCATGTTCACTGTTGAGTCTCTCACAAGCCAAAAAATGGGAATAAGCAGATCATTAGCTTTGATTTCTTTTAGTTAAAGAAAGCATTGAATGCTGACATGTCTATTAAAAATTAATCTTTATAATTCTATTCAAAACAAAACTCTTATCATTACCAAAACACGCTTTGTTTTATTTGTCTAGTTTCTAGATATCGTTATGTCTATATAGTCGACTGAAACATTACTTATTGATTCGTATGTTTGTACCAAGTCAATTTTTATCTTTAAAAGATATTTTAAATTTTTACTAAATTATTATGAATGTAGAAGACTAATTTTAACACAATGATAAATTCCTAAATGCCCGAATAGATAGTGTACTACACAACTTGAGTTCTAAATTTGAAAAATAACTTTCACTAAAATTATTATAGTTTAAAAATAAGCCTGGGGTTCCACAGAGGGGGCATGTGGAAAAGTTTATTAAAGGTCTATCACAGAGCAGAGGGAGGAGGTAGTTAAATTGCTCAAGGAAAGCTCGATGAGGACACTAATCAGCCCTGATCCCTTTTGCAGCATACCAAATTGCTAAAAATGTAGATCCACCAGACAATGGGTTAAGAATAAGTCCTTGGTTTAATGGGAAAAAAGTTTATTGCTGAAGCTATCGTCAGAACTATTAATGTGCTAGGACTAGGTTGATAGTAGGACTTTTGAATGGACACTGTAGACCCTGGAGGCATAAGTATAGACTCAGAGAAGCAAAAACTAGCCTGTGCAGTTATTGCCAGAAAGAAAAATAATTAGTGAGTATGTCCCCTGTTGATGCAAAGCCTTGTACAGGCTGGAATTCCAACTCCTGAGAGAGGAAAAGCCGAGGCATGAAGGACCCCTTAAAGCTTTGGGATGTGACAAAAAGCATAATTTTTTTTCTCTTTTTATAAAAGATCTTTTACAAAAAGTGAATCTACATACTCCACCTTTATTAATAAAAAGCCTTAAGGTAAAAGACCTCTGGAAAATACTGGAGATCGCTCAATAGACCAATTTTGATCATGGTTAAGGTCGTAATGAGGCTGACTTTTTTAAACTTAAATTTTTTATGAAACAAATATGCAGTATAAAACTACAACTGAGTATGTTGAATGGTACACTTATCACCAAGGTTTAACAGTCATTAATTTCAATTGATGTTAATTTACCTGTTTTTTTTTTTTTTTTACTTTTTTTACAACTACTTTAATGCGTTAATAAACAAGGGAATCATTTATCAAAATGATTAAGTGGGACATACTTTGCACAGAAGAAAAGTCCAGCAAAAGTTTGTACCTAATGTTTAAAAACAGTTGAAGACAAATCTTTGTTTGAATTAACCACAATACTTTTTTTCCAATTTTGGTATAATTACAAACTATTTTCTTTGTTCCTAAGGTATTTCAGGTCATTTTATATAATTTTTATAATGAACAGACAGAAATAATGAAAAATGACCAAGCTAACAGGTACATCACTTCACAGGTTTCAAGAATAATCATAATTTTTATGCTTGTAATCTAATGTATAGTAACTTTTATATTTAACACAACAACAGAGGTTATACAAAACCCCTGAGTTCTTGTGTTTAAAAAGAAACCCATTTGTAAGTGCTCCTGGTTCGAATTTAGGGTTGTTAGATTTAAACCAGGAAAAGTGATGAGTCGAGTCAATTCTATCACCATAGCAACCATTGTTACCCCGTTATAGCAACTGTTAGATTGCATTATTAAAGAAAACAATCATTAACCATCATGGCTCTACTTTGCTTATTTATTTAAGTGCTTTTCAATGTAAAAGCAGAATCTAAGCATTAATGTTACAGTATAAAAATTATGAACTGGCAAGCGTTCTCACCACTTTAGCAAGGATTACACACTTTTTGATAAGTGAACATAAGCAAACAAGAAAAAGTTTATTAACACTCATCCTGTAATCACACTAATTTTGGTGTCAAGTGATAAAAATGTGCCTGAAAATTGCTTGTGAGCTGCAAAAACTAGTTTTCCCGTATTTTTCAACTCTCATTGAACTTGAATATTTATTTCAATTTTGTTTCTAACATATTTAAGGAAAAAAAAATAATTTTTATTATCTTGTTCAATCACTTCTCATTGTACTAATTTGCTTATTATCGCTGGTTCTGACATGTCTCAGCATTTTACCATCTAAGGTCCTTGCAAAATCGAGCTGTAGTATTGTATAATTCAAAAATGTTTGTAATGTAGTCTTGTAATTCAATAATTTGGACAGCAAAACTTCATAAAGTGACGACACAATGGATGTTTCTTAGGAAGAAACTAGGTCCCCAGATAACAAAATTTCCGAGCTATTCTATCATTTTTGAAAAGGAATGAACTATTAATTAATTTAATTAATATAATGAATGACAATAGTTTTCGTGGTCCGCTTGACCAATTAATATCTTTCAATTAATTAATAATGGATGACTCAGTTTACAGCGAGTATTGACATTATGGATTACTTATATGAGTCATATCATGAGTGTATGAGTCATATGGCTTTTCCAAGGATTTAATGCTTTTTTTTATCAGGAATTATTTGCTGTTAATTGTTTACATAGTGATAAATTTTAATTGGTTTGAAATCAACATTGCAAATTTTTCCCCTCAATCAAATCTATAGTAGTGAAGTGTTTTTATTATTTTTTTTATACTTTAATTATTGCTGGTACACCAATCATTAAATTGATCGATCTCGGATTATGAGTTGTTGTGATCTGAACATGCCACAATTATCTATATATTTGGGAAATATTATCTGCATCTGATGCCATTTTTTTGTTAGTGTTTGTGTTTAGTAATATCTAATTGATTTTTTTGTCTTTGTATTATTGTTTTCAATAAATTGTTATATTATGTATTTTGTTGTTATTAAGCTCATAAATTATTTATTAATCCCTTGGAAAATTTTATTAACATTTGGACAAGTGGTTTTGAATTTGTATTGAGTAATATTTTAGTTGGTTGTATTTCTTTTTCTTTTTCCATCTTTCTTTTTTCTTTCTTTCTTTTTATTTTTTATTCTTTCTTTCTCCCTTTAATAATTATTGATGTTGTTTTGCAAAGGTTTCCACTGACTGATTATTCCAAATCACTTGGTACTATGAATACTATAACAAAGCCATTCATAGAAACTTATAGGTTCTCATTTGATTACCATTAAAAATGTTGCATAAAAAGAAAATGTTATTCAATATAAAAATATAAACAATTTATCCCATGCTGTTTTTTTTATTTTATATATTTATTTTTATTATGTTTTATACATGATGAAGAACTGTCTATTTATTATTGAAATTATCTAATCTATCCAATAAAGACTGGTTTGTGCTGTACTTAACTTATTTGGTAGATAGGAGGGACTGAATGGATTTTTTTCTTACAGGGGAAGAATTTATAATTACAAGGGGATCTTGGTTTTATGAATCTTGGCAGCCTTTGGATGAAGAATCATCTAGGAATGTCGAGGAAATATACCTCGAGCTTTTCCTGGGGAAGAAAAACTCCGATTATTTAGTTGACAGCACGACAAATGGTACGAGCATTCTGGTATATCTTGATGCACAGTTTATCAAAAATGTTTTTCCCTTCCCCATAGCTATTAGAACAGAGGTCTTTTCTGACTGCAATATCGATTGGTACTCCCCGACTGAAGTCTACCTCTATAAAAAAGCAGCTTCAACAAAAATTGTGCGCAGTTTTACGCAAAAATTAGGATATTTTAAAAAATGTAAGTCCTGCTTGTCGTCACAGTGCGATTAGTCCCTTAATCATTGTTATTTACAGCGACTGGCTCCAAAATAATTCGTGGTTACAAAAATTTAGCTAAAGATGATGACAAACACAAAGATATAACACATCTTGTATTCGTTGTGCATGGAATTGGACAAAAAATGAATATAGGTGCGCAAATATTCAGCAATACTATTTCGTAAGTTTAATTAATTTAAAAATAAAAATAAACATTATTATTCGATAATTTGTTGAAGTAATGAGGAGCAGTCAGGAATGTCGTATTTTTGATAAACACTTTTTTTTTGCCAATGTTTGGACATTTCTTCAGGTCATCTTAAGGGCCAGGGCCATTACAAACGTATGTTGATTAGAAAAATAATTATACAGTACAAATGTAAATAATATAAATTTTAAACCAAGTATTTCATACTCATGTAAAGTGTGATGCTATTTTTTGTGGGGTTATGTTTGTATTGTGTGAAATTGTTGTGAAACGTGAATTTGTATTTTGCTGTTTTGATATATAATTGTGAGTGGGTGGGGAAATCTGGGAAATTTTCTTTGTTCATAGGCAGTTTTATTTGAATCAATGGAAGTCGAGAATGGAGATTTTCTGGATTGTATTTTTGATTCAGGGTGTAATCCCAAATTTCCGGCCAATCCCCGTCTCTTAGAGTTTTAGCTGTTAAAACAAAAACCACAAAAAAATTATAAAAACAACCAAATACAAATGGGCAAGTCATATCATGAGTGTATGAGTCATATGGCTTTTCCAAGGATTTAATGCTTTTTTGTTAGGAATTATTTACTGTTAATGAAAAAGGTGTTTATCTAAAATCCTTCATTTTTGACTGCTCCTCACTACTTCAACAAATTATTGAACATCTGGTCGCTAAATAATGCATCTTATTATATGAAATTATCAATGTGTTTTCAGCATAAGAGAACGAGTTTCATATCTTCAGGATAAATATTTTCCTGAGTGCAATGAAAGAGTTGAATTTTTTCCAGTTGAATGGAGAAGCAATCTTGTTCTAGACGGAGGTATGCTTTCTAAATTTTCATAATAATATTTCATGAAAATTATTGTGAAAATTTTCAGGCACTGTAGATGCAATAACGCCATTGCACATAAAATACCTCCGTCAGGTACTTAACTCATCTGCTATGGACATAATGTATTACACAAGTCCATTGTACTGCGGTGAAATACAGCTGGGGCTTGTCACCGAAATGAACCGGCTGTACTCAATGTTTCTTGAGAGGAATCCTCACATGAAGCCAAAAGTGTCTGTGATCGCTCATTCTTTGGGAGCTGTTATTGTATATGACATTGTTACCGGATGGATGCCAATGGTTTGTTGGGTGTTTTTTTAAATCACTCACATAGATTTTTCAATTAATTTTGTTTTTTCAGGGCACACAAAATAGAAGTGATATAGAACCGGGTAAATCACGTTTAAGGTTTCCTGTAAGTAGTTTCATGTAAATAGAATAAAAAAAGAGAGATGAAAAAGCAAAGAATTAATAAAAGTTATTTTTCAGTTGGATAATTTTTTCTGTTTGGGTTCACCGCTGGCAGTTTTCTTAGCTTTAAGAGTACCGAAAGGTCATCATGGTTACCATTTGTTCCCGCCAACACTCTGCAACAGACTGTATAACATATACCATTTGACAGATCCCGTCGCTTATAGGTAAACAAACAATTTTTTTATATTTATATATTTTTTTTTAACAAGTTATCATCCAGGCTGGAGCCGCTTGTGGTGAAAGATTATTCAAGAATCGCTCCTCTTCCTCTCCACTCGTACAACGCTATCAACCCGATACCATACAGTGAAATGAACTTGGAACTTGAAGAGCCTGCAGACATTAATGCTGTTTCGGTTTTCCCACCTGATGGTACATCATCGCCAGTAGAAACACCCAATAAAGGTCAGTCCATTGATTATTCTTTAATTGCCTTTTTTACCCCGTAAATACGTCATATTTGAAAAGTCAAAATTTGAAAGAAATCTAATTTTGAATGTTCTTTACTTAGACTTAATTCTTCGATTTGTTTTAATTTTTCGTTTAATGATGCCCTTAGATTTTTCTTTTTTGTATTGTATTTTGTATGAAGTATGATTTAACTTTTGTGGCTCTGAACAGCCCCTGCTGTCAAGCACAAGTTATATATGACAGCAAATTAAATAAAAGGTTTTATTGAAAAACAAATATAATATTTTTCACTATTAAATTTTGCAGGTTCATTATTTATGAAATTTTTTATTGATATTGTTTGTTGTTTTTCTTTCTGGTCAGAAAGATCAAAATTTTTTTACCAGCGAGTTTTGGGAAATCTTTGTTTAGATAAGAGTTGGAGGTTTTGGAACCTAGTCCGGGGGAAGCAGTGTGCTGAAACTGGCGGCTCTCCTCACCACATGGATTCACAGTCACAAGGTGAAAAATCAAAATTCAATTACTAAATAACCCTGCTTCCTTTTGAACTAGTTCCATTAAAAGTTCTATCACACCATACAATATATTTTATATTTTCACTTTTTAATACACAAGTCTGATTGGGCCTATTGTCTGAAATGAAAGTTGGATGGGGATGCTCCATCTGATTGTCTTATCCACAAATCATTGTGGATAATGGAAAATGTGTTACCAGCCAGTTTGACTGTTGTTTTTGATAACTACTTCAAAAGTTCAGATCAAATATTTGGATGTGCAAGGCCGGCCTCGTGACTGTCGAATGCAACAGTCATTTCAGCATTTCGGATCTGATTGTAGGAAATATGATGGTTTAAACTTTTAAGAGGAGAGTGCAAAGTACAAATACGCTCATTGTGAAAAATGACATGACATGAGATGTTCACCTTTGTATCTAGGCTCCTCAAGTTGTTTAAAGGTGTTGGGTGTCTCTATAAATTAAAAAATAATGTTTGCACTGGTTCATTCCTCATGATTGAATAATTTTACGAAACTTTTTTTTTTTTAAAATTGGCCTTATGATCTTTGCATATTAGCCATGACGAATCTCTTATATATGTTGTTCAAATTGGGGGTTATCGGGAAAAAAGGGCCAGAGGCGACGGAGGGAATCGAACACACGACCGCGGCGTGAGAGTCTCTCATGCTAACCACTCGGCTACCGCGGTCCCCCTTTACAAAACTTGCTTTTTGTCCATCACTGATACTTGTAAGAAATGAATAATTTCATTCTGTTCCATGAGTATTCTGATAAATTTTGGACATTTGATTTAATGGCGGCATTTAATTATAAAGATAGTAATTTTTAATTCCTCCTTTTTCAATAAATATTTTTAATTTTCAGCGAGGGATGACGAAGGTAATTCAAGCACTACCAGACTACCTGGAGGTATGTTTATTTATCTTCTTATTTATTAGATATTAATTTTTATAATGAGATTATAATGTAAAGTTATTTTTCACATAATAAATATTTTAATAATATTTTTTTAAACTTGCGTTAACAGGCTTGCAGCATCGACTCGATTATGTACTGACAAGCGGCACAGTCGTCCCTTTGGTCTTCCGTTCTGTGCTCATATCACACACAGCGTACTGGAACAACAACGATGTCGCCTACTTTGTGCTAACGCGGATCTTCCCGGAGCTGGAGATCCAGCGCGCCTTCTCCGACAAATCCGGTATTTCCCAAGCGCCCTCGTAAAGTAGCAAATTTCAGTTCTATCCGGCAACCCCGCGTATCACTTTATGACACCTCTGACCGGAAATGACTCTTTAAACTATCACTACTTTTTCTAATAAGGCACTGCGTCTTTTAATCATATTTCAATGCTTATAAGTAGACCAATGAATTGGTTGTCAATTAGAAGAACCGGTTTGTCAGGTTTTTTATTCAGGCAAACTTTCTTTTTTTCCTGTCTAAGAAGATTTTTTTCTTCTTTCAAATATTTTGAAATTATAAGCTAGTCATGGATTAAAATTATTTAGATTAATTAATTAAGAGAAGGATTATTTATATTTTAGTTTAATTAATAAATGTGTTTAGTAAGAGAATGAGCTGTTCTTTTATATCAAATTTGATCTAAACTGAACAAGATCTTAGAAAAACAGTTTTGCATATTTAATTAAAATATATTTTATTCAACCTTATAGTAGAATATATTTGATCTTATATTGTGGATAACAATAAAAAACAAATAAATAAATCAGCCCTGTCCATAAAAAGTCAACACAGACTTCCAGATGTTTCTGTGATTTGTCTCTATATACTATTTTCAATTTGGTAAACCAAATGTCAAATATTAAAAAGCTCCTGATCTATAGTATAAATATGAGATTTATTGTACATCACTATCTTTGAATTGTACCTCTTACAACTTTGAAGATCAAATAATAAATCTTAAACTAGGAAATTTTCTATTAGAACATTATTAAATTTTTAATAGACGATTCTTCTGATCGGATAGGGCATTATAGGATTAGTAGGGGTAATTTTTTCAAGTTTTCAGGCACATCGTACTAGTCAGAGGATATAATAATAAATGTAAAGCAGTCACAAATTATTGTTCAAATGTTATCTCGTCTCTAAGCCTAACTCGTGCCTTCACAGTTCTACATTTATATCTTTTCTAGTTTTTTTTCTGAAATTTTTGTTTGTTTAAGTTTTGACAATTAACAAATTTACTTCTTGCAAGCTTTAAATTTTTTTAATCAGTATTTTGAACCTAAATATTAAAAAAACAAATAATTCTAGTCTCTTATTTGTTGGGAATTTGAAATTGAAAATTGCTTTTCCTTTGATCTCAGTTATTTATTTAATTTAATTTTTTTAATTTTTAATACAATAAAAAAGGGTTAAATATGAATGAGGTTCAAAATAATTTTGTTAAAATTTTTTGTTTTTTGTCAATAGTGTTTTGATTTGTTTTTAACTGTTGTAAGGCTTTTCGTTTAAAACTAACATTTAAGGGATTTGGTTTTTATATTGAAACACATTGCAAGTGATCATGGTGTCTACCTTCTACTAACCTTTCATTTTACCTTAACAATCCTTTAACATGATTTTTTATTTAACAATGGAGGTATTGGTGTTTTTGTTTTCTTTTAATTACAAATCAGTAAAAACAAACAGTGGCAAAATAAAATACCCCCCCAAAAAAAAAAAAAAAAAAAAAAAAAAAACTTACAGAACTAAAGGTTTACATATTTTCTTATAAAGATGCTTTCTTTTTGTTCTATTTACTCAATCAAATTGACAATATGCAATATTAAAATAACACTTTTTCATAGATCTTATTAATATTCATATTATAATGTGTTTCTAAACACAACTGGTTAAAAATGTTGATTGGCTCAAGTTTTTAAACTGAGGGAAACTTGCATATTTTTCCTGCGATAAATTAAAAAATGAGGGTACTGGGTGTAATTTGAGTGTTCATATCTTGTGTTTGTGAACGTCTCATCTGGGTTGATGGGGCGTTTTAGCCATGTCTCAAATCGCTTGTGATAACTCTTAGACGTTAATCTGTTCTTTTTTTAACTTGTTTGTCTTTAGATATATTAATTTGTTACATAGATATAGACAAGTAGATGAACATATTATTGCTCAGTTTTTGAATTCTCGCTGATGTTTTGTCAGTCTCACCTTGTGAGTGGAATATAAATTGTTTTTTGTTCTTGTCTGATTGTTTCACCACTAGAAGTTTTTCTGCGTTAGTTTATTGTGCTATTTCATTTTTTTCTGAATACTTTTTACCTTAAAGTACAAACATTTCTTATTGCTTTTAAAATTAATGTAGTTCTGGTGTGTGAGATTTTTTCAATACTTTAATAATACAATGTTACAAAAAATGAAGGTAACTGATTGTGAATAAATAAATAATGAGAAAGTATTAGCATAATAGAAAATAATCTTAATATTTCCTTGATTTTGTTACAGTACAGTGACGTGACATATAGTGTCAATTTTGTCAAAGAAATCCTAATGTAATTAAAACATAAATTTTTATCTGTGATGGATATAATATATCCATATCAGCATTTAATAATTTTTAAAAAATATCTAGAGAAACAATATTCTAAATAAAATTAATGTACTGTACAATGTTTTTAAGACAATACAATCTGATTTATGTGTATAAGGTGTGGTTTCCGTCCTGTCAGACATTGTACATAACCGTTCCACCCTCTAAATTCCTAAAGATAATTTTAACTGAATTGTAATAGTATGAAAAGATGTCTGAAGAAGCGGATTGGTCTTATCGGCATTAGTACGATTCATCATCCTGTTTGTCTAGTAGTTACATTTTCTCTACAGGGTTGTGAAGAGATTTTGCTGTTTGTCCTCCTCCCTCCCCCGAAAAAAAGTTGTTAAAATTTCGAGTCTTTTATCTAATTTTTTTTGTACATTTAGGATAATTAAATAGTCTCAGAAATAAATAAATTAGGTGGTATTGTGCCAATGTGACATTTATGTGATCTTAGATGACAATTAGATATTACATAAGTAAATATTGTGTATGAAATATATTTGAAAAAATGTATATTTTTATGTGGGCGCTTCACATTTTGTAACAAACCTTTGTGTGTAACCCAATTGACTAACATGTTTTCTCCTTATGAATACAGTGAATTCGATTTTGCAATGAGTGGGTAGTGGAGTGGCACTGTGATACATCACTTTGCACTATTGTTAATAAAAAAGTTTTAAAAAAAATGGAAAAAAGAGAGCTGTAACCTTTTCTGTTGTCTCTCTCCTTTTCTATTGATTTTTATTACATTTGAAAACAATGTAATTGAAGTAATAAATTCTGTGAAGCAAGTTGTCATCTTTGAGTTACCTGTTTTTATTTTATTTTATTTTTTAAATTAAGTTTTGAGAATCAAGTAACATTAGTCTTAAGCTTGAGTGTTGTACTAACAGCTACAAAACTTTTCTCTTTATTCTCTGTGCTCACACAATTTTCACAATATTCGGAGGAATTCCACGTCTCGGGTAAGTTCACCAATTCTCACTTGGTAGAAAGTTGGGGTTTACCACTGAACGAATTCGTAGCAAATTGAACATTAACAAACGCATGTCATATCTTTAGCACAACTAACAAGTGAAAATTGCACTAAAAGTTAAATTTGTTTAACCATTATATTGTAATGAATGCTATGTAGAAATTAATAACTCTTAATACATTGTATCATGTATCGATGCAGCTATAAAGAGCAGACTCTCCAAAAAATTAGGAAAAAAGACAACTGAATCTCTCTCAGTTTGATAATTAAAAATATTTCTTGAACAATGTCCATTGTGATTTTTTAATGTTTGAAAATGTAAGTGCTGATTGTGATACGTCAGCAAAAATTGAACATTGTGATATTACTTGTGAGAAATTTTTGTTAAAAAAATTAATGCTTTCCTGTTGATAATATGAAAAGATAAAATTTTCATTTATTATCTCTTTTCCGGTTTGATATTCAATTTATTTTAATGAGTACTAAAACCCCAGTTTTCACCAGAACCTTCTGCTTTTACGGAGCTTTAAAGTTATATCTGATGCTTCTTTATAAAAAAAAAAAAAAAGGATTTCAAACATTAAGTTGGGTTTAAAAAAAAATTAAATAAATAAAAAATACTAGGAACAATACACAGATTAAATCAACTTAACTTTTGAGATCCACAATATGATTGAGATATGCTAGTAATTATAAATTAATTATATGAAAGTTAAGATGCCATAAAACTTTAGAATTAATCTAATTTTCTTGTATCAAGTAGTTCAGAATCAGTACTCAAAATTGCAGAAGGTAGTTGGCATTTAAAAAAAAAAGAAAAAAAAGGTAATCTACAATAGTTGTTTATTGTTATTAAAAATATTAAATCACATTTATATACATTAGATTATTATTTAATAGTATTGTCATTTTAGTATATAGCTGAATTATAGCATTATATAGCTGTGATATGCATGAATGAAGGCTGAGAACGAGTGAAAATGGCTGTTTAACAAAAAGTGCGAATAGTTGTATTGGAGAAATATCGTCATGCGTTTATCAGTGATCATGTGTCTCAATACATCGGCAGCAAAGGTCCTTTGAATTGACAGCTTCCTGTGGAACGATTAATAGCTTTTGATACTTTTGCTTCATTGTTGAATGTTTAAATCTGATCTCACACACTTTTATGGGCTGATAAATATAAATTGAGATTAAATTTATACAAATAATTTAATGATAAATTGTGTAACATGAGTCCTGGTGCGACTGCTCTGATCATCATTGATGTCGTAAGTTGTTGACTCTTGTGTTGACCGCTTTGTCTTTCTTCAGCAGATTGGTTCTCAATCGTTAATAGTCCATACACTCCTCGCCCCGTATTCTCTCTATACACGTCTAATTTTAACGTTATTTTAATTTCAATTTTAATTTTATTTTCATTTCAGAGCCAAAAAAACTAACCCGCATTTTACCACAATTTTTTGCCAAGCATATTTGAAGAAGTTAGCCTTTCAGCAAACAATATTTTATTTTCTGAATAAATTTTTGATATCGATAAGTCAAATTTTAAACTTAATGTTTTTCAGGCTGTATGCCCTTTGGTAAGCAACCGATTCAAGATATAATTTGAAACATGTTACAATTAAATTTTAAATATTTTCAGACAGTTGAGATAGAATAAGAAAGCATGGTTTGTATGAAAATCAAGAGAAATGTGCTCACGCTATTGTAAGACTTTGCCAATCTTTTCTTGTAGAAGTTTTTATTTCTAAAAAAACAAAACAAAAACAAGGAGAATCAAACGAAAAATGAAGATTAATTGTTGGGGGAAAAACTTTGTAACAAATTGTGCTCCAGGCTTTTCTCTTCCTGTTTGCCATTTGGTGAAATTAATTTTATTGTTTTTTCCAGGAACGATAAAACGCTACAAGGAGATCAGAAGAGACACTTACAAAATTAAGAAGAACATTAAAAAAAATAATATAAAGAGTAAAATAAAAAAGAAAAAATTGTCAAAGAATCAAAATTAAAGTTGTTAAAATTGACCACGACTGCTATTTTAAATGTACAAAATGTTTTAATGAGTCGATGTAATATTTTCTTTATCAGTGTAAATCCTAAACGTTGTATATTTTTTGTTGGAACGTAATTTATTTTTATATCTTTTAATAACTGCGAAAATAAAAATTGTTTAAAAAAACTTTTTGTCTTTTTCATATTTATTATTTTAATTTTAATTGTTTTGTAATGACTGTTCGCGCAGGTTTACGCGCGGTTTTTTAGTGACGTTTTACGCCCTTAAAATCTTATTTGCTCCCCCCTCAGTCCCACTCCATTTTTTTCGTTCCTTTTCTTCCCAGTTTTTTTTGTTAGTACCATTTTTGCCTCCGCCGGTAACTCATTGTTCGCATTTGCTTCCGATTTGGCTTCAACGTAGAATATTCAATTTTTATGCAAAGTACTAATTTTTCCTCCGATCAGACCATACATGGTTCTTGTGCCTCCGACGTATTTGCTTACAATATCTATCTCGTTATTTGCATAGTTTTACTTCCGCGAATAGCTATCGAAAGAATATTTGCGAGAAAGATAACCTAGTACTGCGACAAGATGGCCGTTCAACTCATACCCCATCACAACGGGTTCGGTCGGGGCCCTCGAGGTAGGCCAAGTCGGTTAAATTTACATATTTCCTTTGGTCAAAGTATAGGGTGCATTATGCATTTAGTGCATTTTTTTGCTACAGCTTCTCAATCTGGTGCTGGGGACGATCAAGGCTGGAGACGACGCAACCACTCGACTTGGTGAGTACTCTCTGTTTTAAACTCTAGCCATTTTTTTAGATATTAACATTAAATTTTCCTACTGACCAGCTTATACATATTTTACTAATTATTACTTGTATACGAAAGAATTTTATTTGAAAGAATAATTCGTTCTTTTAAAAAACTATAAATTAGTACAGTCGTTCCCCCCCCCCTTCCAACCGGTTACCCTCTTGGAAACAATGCCAAAGTCTGATTCGCCAATCGCCAAGGCCAGGGAACTCCTGAAGAGGTTCCTGGTCAAAAGAAACGATATCTTTGCAAAACTAAATTGTATTTACATGAATTATGTATTTATATATTACCCTTATGGTTTACCATTGCGTAAACAGGACACTACTGAATTTTCCCAGTACTAAGCGGATAATCATATGTATTTACTACATACATGTAAAGTCGTTGCAGTTTCTTTTCTTTTCGTCAATTTCTTGGCAATATTTCTATGCTGTGATAGTTTCAACATAATTTTGGACTTTATAGTGAACAAGCCCAATAATACACCAGTCACCATAACATTTTTTGGGTGCAGATTTGGTGAGCGGTCCGCTTCGATTAACAGTATTCAAACAGAGGGCGCTGGTCAAACCTTTTTCTTCGGAAGAGGGGGTCCTCAAAATTATTGTACTGGTGTAAACATAATTAATGTTTTGAAAAGGCAGTCAAAATTATTTTTAATATTTATAATATAAAGAAAGTTTATTAGAAATATTTTCCATTACAATCTATACATCTTTGCACCGTGTAATAAGAGCTTTTATTTGGCTGACATAAAAATCTTTATTTCTACTCACAATAACTTGGAGTCATTTTGTCTTCACTGCGTTCTATAAAAAAAAATTCCTAAAGAAGTGATCAAAATGCGTAAAAAAGTGGACGTTTGTAGGCGAGAGGTGGGGTGAATATGGAAGTTGCGGTAAGGTTTTATGGGTCCTAACTTTAAGTTTCATGTGGCCTGGCCTGGCGTTATCGTGAAGAAGAATCGTGTCCTTACCGTTTACCAATGCTGAACAAAGACGTTGCAGTTTCCCGTGAATTTTGTCAATTTCTTGGTAATATTTCTCTGCTGTGATGGTATGGTATGGTGGTATGGTATGATGGAAAGGATACTGGGAAGCGGGGCTTGTATTTCCCAGGCACTGCAGCCTTCTGGCTTATTGTACTTCCCAGTTCCCTAGTTTAGTCAATAGACTCAATCCTTCTCAGAAGTATCAGGTCATTGACTGTTTTTGCTGCAGTTCGGTTCCCTGAGTCTTTTTCGTACGTTAGGTTAAACCTCCATTGAGCTGTTGCTTCGCATTCGAAGATGATATGAGTGGCTGTTTCCTCCTCCTCATTACATAATCTGCAAATGGGATCATCATTGTATATACCCATATTGTGTAGATGTTTTCTCAGATACCAGTGACCGGTTATTAGTCCCACCATTCCTCTGAGTTTTGCTCTCTCCAATTGCAGCAGTGTTTTTGCCAATTTTGGTGAGGGTTGTTTCATCATAAGTTTACTATGTCTAGCACCGCTAGAGTTTATCCACTTCTCTCTTTGTTTTGTTTGGATCCATTCTGCGATGGAGGATTCTATGTTTGTTTTTGTTATCCCAAGGATAGGTTCGGGGCCTATGTATGGTCTTGCAGATCCTCCTCTGGCCAGTTTGTCTGCATCTTCGTTACCCAGAATTCCCCTGTGCCCTGGCACCCAAGATATCATCGGGTTGTTGTGTTTTCCCAGGTTTTGGAGATTTTGGATACATTCACTGACTAGTTTTGATGTAATTCTTTTACATGCCAATGCTTTAATAGCTGCTTGGCTGTCTGATCTTATGAGGATTTTTTCTCTGCTGTGATAGTTTCACCATCCTCCTGGACATTACAGTGAACAACCCCGGCAGTACACCATCAAACGTCACCATAAACTTTCTTGGGTGTAAATTTGGTTTCGGGAAGTATTTTGGCGCTTCAGACTTCATCCTTGTGAACCACTGACCTGTACACTTCATGTTATCGTACAGAATCCATTTCTCACCGCACGTGATGATTCGATCGAGAAATGGATCGAGACGTGCAAATTACAAAGCGTCGATTTCTTTGAGCTTCGGTTAGTACGTGCCGTACCTACTTGTCGAGCACTAAGCTCGTCCGCAATTTCATGTGTTGTCTCTGAGATCAAAATCTCCAAGACGAAATCTGAAATATCGCTCGAGCATTTCGTAATACTTCCCTCCCCCCAAACTGTACTGACTTTACGCACTTCGTCCAAGTTTAAATTCGTAAAAATAAATTTGACGAAAATCTAGTTTGGGCATATTTAATTTCGCAGGTCCTCACTCTTTTAAAATTCAATGTAAACTAAAATGCATTAATTTTACACCAACCCAATAGTATGTATTCTTTTGATCTCACGAGTCTTATATAGTCTCCGATGTGTGGCGTCCCTAATAATTTATTATAGATGTAGATAGTTTTGGCTAGCATTAGGCCATTATAGTGAACAACTCCAGCAGTTCACCAAACAGTCACTACACAATTTTTTGGGTCCAGATTTGGTTTCGGGAAGTATTTTGGCGCTTCATCCTTGTCAACCACAGACCAGTACACCTCCTGTTATCGTACAGAATCCATTTCTCACCGCACTTGAGGATCGAGAAATGGATCATTTTGGTGGTGCAACAGAGAAGCACAAATTTCAAAGGGTAGATTTTTTTTGGGCTTCGGTTAGTTGGTGCGGTATCCACTTGTCGAGATTCTTTACTTTACCAGAGGGTCAATGGCGGAATATCGAGTACCCCCCCCCCCAATCGACTCTTAATTAGGTTAGGTGCATAGTATGTGTAAAGGTTGTGTTGAGAATGAATGTTTTTATTGGCGTTATCAGGCCGATGCAGAAACAATGAGAATGAGATTATAATAAATTATAACACAGATAAAAATAATATTATATCTGTGGTATTTAGTGACCGTTAATTAATGATGATTTGGGGATCATGAGATGCGATCTGGTGTGACGTAGGTTTAGAGAAACTTCTATTTTCTTTATCGTGCCAACGTTTCGATTTTTATTGGGATCATCTTCAGGGCCGGGATTTACAATCATTGTTTAAATTATACAAATACATATAAGATGTGAAAATGAATATATACAATGATGTACACAATATAAAAATTTTAAGTTTAATTAAAATATTTTTATCAAGTCAAAGCTAATGCTTCTCTCTCCCCAAACTGTGTTGATGTTACGAGCGGTTTGGGCCGCACTTCTTCCATGTTTAAATTCGTACAAATAAATTTGACGAAAATATAATTTGGACAATTTAATTTCGCAGGTCCTCACTCCTATAAAATTCAATATAAAATAAAATGTTTTGTTTAAAAGATAACAGTTAAAAGTATTTACTATAATCCGTATAATATTATTTATACTATAAATATAATAACATAAATCAATGTATGTTTAGTGTTCATAATTGAGCGTATTAATTATTTCAATTAATTATTCTTTTTATCTTAAAGTCTTGATTGAGAAGAGAAAGTGTCACGGGCAAGATTCGAACCCACGACATTCGGCTTGGAATCCCGCTCGTGACACTAACTTTTCCATCTTAATCAAGACCTTAGATTAAAAGAATAATTAATTGAAATAATCCATAAATAAATACATGATAACCACCTTTGAAAATAAAACAAATTTTCAAAACTTGCACTAACTTAGCATCAACCCAATCAATACAAAAATACAATATAATATAATTAAACTAACAACAGTGGAATATCAGATATTAATTGTAGTAATTATTTCCTCTTTTGTTTCATCTAAAAATTATTAAATGATTATTTTGCTTGAGCATTTCTTTATTGAATTTGTCTTTTATTGGCATATAGTGTTTTTGTTTATCTTTGTGGATGTTTTAGCGACGTATGTATTGCTTGTTACCCTACGTCGCGCCCTATTTTACTGTGTCCAGTTTGTTAAGGTTAAACAATGATAACGCAACCTGGCTTTGTTAAATTGTAAAGATTTCTTTGTGAAGCCTTTAACATAAAAAAAGTAAGCATAGAAAGAAATGAATGATCAGAAACTATCAAATAAGTCCATCACTTCATGATGTAGTGGGATGATTATTTTTTAAGCGAACTTTTATGTTGGGTCTAAAGGGTTTATGGGTTAGCATAAGAATATTCACACTGGACTTGTTTTTATATTTAGTTTCACTATTTAGTCGTAGTAATCACGGGCGAGCTCATGCTTCATTGTCACATTATAACCGTTACAACTCTCATCGTTTACGTTTTCTATAAATTTTATAAATCGTATTCGGTTGAAATATCGGGTGAATTTGTTCCGTTCAAATATCAATGAGCCGGACATTGTTAATAGGCGAGGGACCGACGTCGAATCGGACCATTTCACTAATCGTTTCTCTATCTAATTTCTAATCAACTCCAAAATCGTTTTGGAGAGACTCACCTGGAATATCCACACATCACTGAAAAAGTCAAAAGGACAGAATTGAACCGATGATAACGATTACTTAAAAGTCTACTAGACTACAGATATAAATCTTTGAAGTATTAGATGATTGGAATGTAGCCAAATAGTCCTTTTTGTTTTTATTTGTCTTTCCACTATTTGTTTGGACACAAAAACAAAAAAAGGACTAACAGATCGAAACCCTGACATAAAATACTCAGACACAACTCAATACTGAAACCAATATGGACATACTGCATAGGAGGTTCAATCAAACTTCTTCCAATCTCCGCAGAATCCAGGCCTTTCAATCACTAATCCTTAGATTCATCGTTCATTGTTTCTAACCACACCGTCTATATATATTGACCTAAATGTTCCCTTTTTAAACGAAGTTGTAAAATCCAGCTGCAAGAAATTCCACATTAACCTCCAATCCTACTCTTACCTCCACGTACAACTACTTTCCTCCCGAGATCTATCCAGCAATCCACCACGACTTCTAAAAAGGCAGTGGCCCAAGTGATCTGCTCTCATAGAGTACGTGTGATTAAGTGATAATTTCTAATTTAACTATCTAACTATAAGCTATCACTGGATAGCTTAAACATTGTCTGATGTCTTTTCGTTTTTAATTTTAATTTGAATTACCTTTTTATCTGTGTTACTTATTGCGCTTCACGCTAGCTAGTATAGTAGCTCTATTACTCAATAAAAAAATTTAATATTGATTTTTATCTGATTCATTCCTAGAAATAAAAGGAATTTATTGTCTAACTGTTGAATAATTGTTGAAAAAGGATTGATTGAAATGTCGATAAAGAAAATGACCAAAATTGAAGAGAAAATTAAAAAATGTAAATAGGAAAAGCCAAATAGCTGTTTAATTAACTGTCCAAATATAAAAAGTATTGCAAGATAATTAATTATAATTAATAATTAAATATTTTTTTTATCGTACCTTCATGTTTATAAAAGGCGGATAGAGTTTGTACGGAAGACTTGTACGTTGTCGGTTTTGCCTACCCTGTCATAACGCCGGCGCATCTTCATATCAAAGCAACCGCTTCCCCCCTTTACTTATGATCTAATGATCATATTTCTCCCCTAACGTCAGCCACCGCAAACCCCGAGAGGCTCCAACGTCAGAATCGAAAAGATTACACCTAACTAGAGTCAAGATATGATTTATCGTCGAAAGCCTACTGTCCGTTTTTCTCCTTATTTAGAATTTGCCGAGTAGATAGATACAAATTAATCAGTTATTCGATTGCTATAAAAGGCTGTTTAGTAAAGTAGTATAGACTTAGTAAATTAGTATAAAAGAAGAGAAAGGTGATACTACATCAGATTCTACCACCCGTCCATTTTACATTACAATTGTGTTTTTTGCCTATAAATTTTCTCGGCTAGTTTGATTTTATTTGAATTTTGAGTGTCAGATACAATTGGTCTTACTGAGTCTTGATATTCCCACGACATCTTTTGTTGTGTAAAAAAATACACTTACATGCAAAAAATTACACCCAATTGATTTTGTTTTTCATTTTCTCGATAAAAGATTCTGCCCTTAATTTGTCTCATTGTTTTTACCAATAAATATTTGTTTATGCTATGTTTTAAATTGGGAATATCAGTTAGAGGTAAACGCACTTAATCCTTAATCCAAAACAAGGATAAAGGATTTTTCAATGTTTATTTTTTATAGAATTTAAAATGTTTATTCAGTCTCATTTGAATTCTGAAGCAATAAATTGTTTAGTTTTCATTTTTGCTTTCTTAATTTCAATTTTTATACTTAAAAATGCCACTTATTGATGATGGACGTTCTATCATGTATGCGGGGTCTTAACAAAAAAGGCCCGGTTCTGGACACCCTAGGGTAACAGAACCACGGGATGACGGTTTTTTTGACTTTCAGAATTTTGCGATTATTGGAATAATACCAATGGGTGTTTTCTCCACTCTTGGTTTTAATTTTGTGAATATTACCTTGCTCACTGCTACTTGTTACCTACTTTAAGGTAGTTGTAATGTACTACAAAATAAAAAAAAAGAAGAGAATTTTGCGAAACCGACACCTTACTCTTGTTCAAGCGATTCATCAGCTCCAGGAAGTTCGAGGTGTCCAAATTTCTGAACGCTCCAATTTCTGGACTGATGGCTTTTCGCCCCGTAAGACGATCAGAATCGACCAGAACACAGAGTAGCACAGCTCGCATTTGCTCGAGAACACAGTCATTGGTCTTTGAACGACTGGTATGCAGTGCGTTTTACAGATGAGTGTAAATTTGCTCTACGATCTCCAGATGAGCATGAAAGAATGTGTTGAAGGCGAAATAAAAGGTACGAAGCCTGTAATTTTTCCCAGAGCTAACCTTTTCAACATACGCCAGTGATGGTGCGGACGGGAATTGCAATGGAGAGTCGCACAGAGTTGGTTGTTGTTCGTGGAGGGTCTTTGACGGCTACTCGCTATGTGGATGAAATTTTGGAACATCAAGCGTTGCCTATCCTCGATGAAATCAGCGTCAATCCTATTCTAATGCACGATAATGCCCTCCCACATGTCGCTCGCATAGTACAAACGTACCTTCAACAAAATCAGGGTCTGGCCAGCCCGATTTGGACCCAATCGGTTATTTATGGATAACCTCAAAAGACGAGTAAGAGCACGTCCATCACGGCATCACTTCCTGATATACTCCACGATCTTGAAAGGTCTCTTCGTGCAGAATAGGCAACATAGAGCAAAGAGACATTTCCAGACTAGTAGAAAGTATGCCGAGGCGTCTTCGAGATGTAATTAAGGCAAGAGGAGGAAATACGCGATATTGAAATGTTAATTAAAAATCTAATTAAAACAAACTTTATCTGTCCGTCCTTTTTATCATTTTTAATTTTCTTTAAGAATTTACATTTTTTTTATACTTTGTTAGACAAAGACTCAATTATTAAACGTTAAAAAACATCAAACTTTGATTAATATATAAAAATATATACAAATCAAGTTATATTACAATTGGGTGGAATTTTTTGCCTGTCAATGTAGCAAACATCGGTTTCTTAATCCGTTTTTAGTTTTTTAATTTGCTCTTTTTGAAGTAAATACAAAAATTTAAAAATTAATTTCCTTTAAATTTTCACTTTTTGTCGTATTATTCTTTATAATGATTAATGATCAATAGTCATCTCAAGGGTGGATGGGTTTTTATTATGCGTACTGATTCTTAAAATAACATTTAAACCCTTTCGAAGTGTTAACCATTAATGTTTAGGGTCTTCTTGATGATATAAATAAGCGAAATGGGCGTTGTTGCTTGTGGAAAAAGATTGTTTCACTGGACTGTAAAAGTTATGAACGGATTGAAAGCTTTTTGAAAGTTTCCATTTACCTTTCAGTCTCTATGTTTCCACCCTGGCCAAGTTCCACGGAATATAATTTGTCGTTGTGACATGTACTGGAAGCGGCGAGTCGTGAAGGACTAAATTGAGTTGGGACGGCTATCAGAAATCGTTCAACGGGTCCTCGCTGTTTCGGATGTGAAGGATAATTTTCTTATCAATTTCTTTGGAGATATTGTGAAGCATTTTTTTATTTTTGGCAAATGAGTTTCACTCGCTCTCGTATGATTAGTCCTTTTTTCTCTGTCATCAACAAAATAAAATTTATCCACACAGTGTATAACCATAAGGAATTCAATTTATTAGTTTACTTTACTACGAATTTTATTATTGTAAAGAAAGAAGCTATTCCTGGCATAGATCCTGCGGGATGCTGCCGAGCCTTTTCTTTTAAAGAAACACACGCCAACATATAAACTGAATTTGTTCCAATCAGCTGTGAATCACAAGAGTTAGGTCAAAAGTAGAAGAACTAGTTAAAAGTTAACACGCGAAGCACTAGGGAATGCTGACAAAAAAAGGATACGTACTATAGTTCAAGATAATCAAGTCAATACTGCGTTCCCCTGTTGAATATAATTTTTGACTGTTGGAAAACGATAATAAATGTAGAGAATTGTTTCTTTTTGCCTTTGTAAACTCCGGACCTTGCCCCCTTGAGACGCCTGGCCTATTGAGCAAAGAGCTTTCTCCTCTCCAATCGAAGGAGCACTGTCTTCAGTGAATTTAAACTGTAGCTGAAAACCTGTTAAAAGTGTTAGATATGAGATAAAAGTGGTATTAGTTTGTGATTGCAGAGCAATGCACATACAATCATAATAACAATTTATCTAAATCTTATAATGCAATCACTTTTTCTCTTGTCGTTGTATGAATAATATGTGGGAGTTTTGCTTTTCAAAAGCTTTCAAAGTTTATACGGGAATTAATTAGCAGTGATTTATGACCCATTTTTTGTTATTGTCGGTCAGAATGTGTGAAGTTCGGTCTCCCTTGAGTACGTGTATCGCCATACAGCGTCGCACGTCCCGATAATCGATGCAAGCTACCCTTTAACTTTATGCAAATCTTCAACTTGTCGTTGTCAATTTCCATTCCGCCTGTTTTGGCTGTTACACGTGTCGCTGCCACGTGCCGACGGTTTCGCCCTTTCATAAATGACCTAATTTGAAAAGCCGTTGGCGCTCGTCAAAATTTCTTCTTATCGAATTATGAAGTTCGAGGAGTCCCGGTGAAATATTGTTCTCACAATATCGCCAAAGGGGAGAAACAAATATTTTCTCGTCGAGTCTACACAATATTGAAATTTAGAGCGAGACACACGAAAAAAAAAACCCGCCTCGGATCCATTGAATCACCTCGCTGAAGTTCAAGCAGCGAAGTTATAAAAGTTTAGGACACAAGAATAAAGTTGCGGCTCGAGCGATTCCTGATTGGGCAATCGATTACAACTTTTCTTAATTTAGATTTTAAAAGAGATCCATGACGGTATCCTTTTTGCGATGAAAAGTTTTCAGTAGCAAGCCAGAAAATAAAAGAGGGCCACCGAGCCTTGATGAAATAGTTCAAAAATAATTAGACAACCATCGATACCACGTGTCTGGAATTTCACCCTCAAAAGTCACCTATTGTATATCAATATGTAAGGGTGGTTCCACCAAGGAAACGCAGAAACTCTCGTCCTGACGAATTCCCTCATACCTGTGAACTTCACCATCAAACTACCGACACGAGTCACAAAAATATCACGAACGCTCAACAATACAGACAAGCATGAAACTACTACATGACGTACAAAAAGTATGAACATAAACTTATAATTTTATTTATATATAATTATAAACTTATAATTATACAAACATTTAAAAAAAAAACACAAATTAACAACAATATCATTTCACCATTCAAAACACGATACTAATTAAAAAGAAAAAGGCAATAGTAAAGAACACAGACTTAGTCCACCAAAGATGTCGACAAGCAAAGATAAAGCTGACCCCCACGACCTTATAACAGACTTGACTGGAGAAATCCCATAAACCAAACACACACAAGTTCCTCTCCTCATAGACTGCACAAAGAAATCTATTTACGAGTTGTAACAAAATGTTATTTAATTTACTATTTAATATTTACTATTAAATTTTGTGATTATTTCTCTATTGAGTCGAATTTATTTGTGAATATAGATAAAAAGTGTTTTCTTTATCCTCTTAGAGAAAAGGGATAAGTTAATAATTTTTTCTCGATTGGTTGTTAAGTTTTTTAAGCATCCAATCCGGCGCGTATGATGTGTATTTGTCCCAAGTGCAACCACGAAATGCTAGAACGTGTTCTTTGGCTTTTGTCCTGAGAAAAACGCCCCATTCATTTACTAATGCATGCCGGTTTTCCTCGATGGCCGCATTGTTCGAATTGGGTTTTGTGTTGTATCAGATTGATTGTTTCCTTGTCGAGAAATACACAGGAAACAGCACACCAACGGAATTATACAGAATCATCCGCTTTTCGTCAATGAATTCACTGTTTGCCGATTGTCGGACTTTAATATCAACGTATACTTTTTTTTTAGATGGCTTTAAAATTTCTTAAAAATTTCCTCCTACTCGAGTGCAGTAAGACTCGGTGTAACTGTTAATTTTTAGTTGAAATATATGACCTCTTAATAATCTTAATACCTCTTCAATAAATCCTAAATAAAATTAAACAATGTCTCAGGGAGATCAAAGGTTGGTTTGAAGAAGGAATCTCCAAAGGATTGTTGCCCCTTGTGTTCTGGCCGCACAACTTACGTCGGTGCCCTTGTTTGTTATCTAAGAAGGTCAAAGAACGTTGGGAAACTGTGAAGGTACTAAAAAAAATGAAAATTCTTTGGGAATCCCCTCTTACATGCTTGTAAATCGAATAGTCGATGCAATTCTTGTGGTAGTAACAATCTTCACTCTTGCTTCCACAATTCATCATCACCTACCAACCCACAAACAAGTGAAAGGCCTCCCATAGTTTCCAACTGAGCGGCACAGGCATTAACACGCACAACCTCGGGATACTCGTCCGTCGACGGTTCTTCTTGGGAGCGCCGAAGCCACGATTGCTGATGCTGATGGAAATATGCATCCAATTCGAGTGATCATTGACCCAGGTTCTTAAGTATCCTGTACGCTTGTACGCAACGTCTTAAATTAAAACCTTCTAAATTCCCACTCAACATTTCAGGAATTGGATTTCAAATGTCAAAACGGTGGTATCTTGCATAGTTGCACCACGCCACATATCTGAAGGCCCAATCAGTTTCCAAGCGGTAGTCTTGCCTCGAATTTCCTCTGATTTACCAACGACATTTATTCCTCATGATGCGTACCAGATTTTCTTCCCTAGAATTATCCGATCTATGAGTTCTTCTCGGAGCGGATGTTTATCCTCTTATAATTCCTGCTGATCCGCCGTGTCTTATTAAGGGAGTGCCTCTTGGTATAACTGTCGAACTTAGGAAGATAACCGTCATTATGTTTCGCAGCATCCTAGCGAGTTTCGAAAGGGAATAGAAGTATGTGTAACTTGCACAGCAACACGATTTTCAGCAGGATATGACCACAAAATGCTTTAATTGTTTGGGGGAATCACCTCTTACTTGCTTGTAAATCGAATCGATGCAATTCTTGTGTTAGTAACAAACATCATTGCCTGCTTGCAATATTCGGGATCACCTACAATCCCACAAACAACTGAAAGGCCTCCCATAGTTTCCAACTGCGCGGCATAGGCATCAACGCGCACAACCTCGGGATACTCGTCCGTCAACGAGTCTTCTTGGGAGCGCCGAAGCCATGATTGCTGATGCTGATGGAAATATACAACCAATTAGAATGATTGTTGACCCAGGTTCTCAAGTATTCTACCAGCCACGCTTGTACGCAACGTCTTACATTAAAATGTTCTAAATTCCCACTCAACATTTCGGAATTGGACAAAACCTGATTTCAAATGTCAAAAAGGTGGTTTCTTGCACAGTTGCACCACACCAATCAGTCTCCAAGTAGTTTTGTTTCAACTTTCCTCTGATTTACCACCCACATCTGTACCTCATACATACCAGATTTTCTTCACTAGAATTAGTCGATCGTTCTTTCCGTATTAAAGTAGAAGTGTTTTCTTCTCGGAGCGGATGCTTATCGTGTTATAATTCCCGCTGATCCGTCGCATCTCATTGAGGGAGAGCCTCTTGCTATAACTGTCGAACTTAACAAGTTAACCGTCATTACGGTTCGCTGCATCCTAGCGAGTTGTGAAAGGCAATGCAGGTGTGTATATAACTTACACAGCAACACGATATTCAGCAGAATATGACCACTCTGATAGCCAAGCATCCGTGCCGTTCTGAATTGTGATAGCTCTCTCCATTTTTGACGAACAGGGGTTTATTAGGGACGGCAGGATTCGACGTGTACTCTGACTTAGAACACAAAGCATCCCCATCGAAAATCCCCTTTTGCTAGTTCGATTTGCGGATTGGTATCACATAAACACATTACACGGAGGGTTATGATTATAGATGAATTTTATATATTTGTATTTCGTTCTTTAAAAAGGTTTCGATACAGCGGGCAAAGATTTTTTTTTTTTTGATTAGTAACATCTTACGGAGGCTCCCAAGGTGAAAAATATGCCATTTTGCTGTTCCCTGCATATATATCGATGAATGATAGAAAAAAATTCGATATACGTGTGAGAAAGGGGCGGAATGATATGAATGAAAAGGAAATTGGCGGTGATGGAGGGCGGTCGTCGGAAGCGGTGGTGGGGCCCGCCGTAGGGGGGGCGTCGCGCACCCTTCGCGCTTCCAGTCGGCCGCGAACCCACGTCTGTGCTGTGTTCTTCCGTCGGCGGAGTGGCCCCACACATCGAAACACGACGAACCCACGGCGGGATAATAAATAAATCCGAAAGACGAACAAACCCCCTGGATTACAAGTGGCCATAAAAGGGGGGCGACGAATAATATAGATAAATCGAAAAAAATAAAATAAAAACCCTCAGTACACGAAAGAGAGGGAGTTTTATTTTTTTTGTTTACTTTGTAAGGTAGGTCAGTTCTCTTCAGATATTTATGGAATTAACATTATAGGGGGGAGTGTTAATTTAAGGTGGTATATAAAACGATTCTGTTTTATCAAGTAACACACGTCGCTTTGTACATAAAATTTTGTTGTACAATTTAAAATTTTAACTAAAACATTTGTGAAATATTATACTACCATCTTCCAGTCACTATGTTATTATCTTTTTTTGCAAACATTCAAATGAGATTTAATCATTTATACATATATGGATAGGAAAATAAATTTTTTGGTGGGTACACAGATTATCAAATCGTCCTGATACTGCTACATATAAACATTATCGAGATTCTTCTCCTACCTTGATGTTTCAAATTTTATTTAAAATTGACCAAATATAAAATTAAACGCCCTTTAACAAATTTAAAAAATAAAATTATTCGTTAATTTAGGAGTTTTCCAAACCTACGTCGATTTTGCAACTTTTTCCCTTCAGTTTATTTATACAGAATTTAAGAAAAATTGTTGCTATTGTACAACATTTTCAAGCATAATTGAATTTTAACATTTGAAGGAATTTTCTTTAATTTTTATCTTCACCATTCAATTCTTTTTTGTCAAACCTTCAAAGGGTCTTT